ATTTACGATTCTCATTGATGGAGATTGAACCCTCACCCTCTGGACCAGTGACTGTGACTTTAGCACTTTAGTCTTGTGATCTATGTGTTTTGTTTTGTTGTTTTTTTATTCTGTCGGCAAATTGACAATTGCTGTAACATCCTAAATAAAATCATTTGATTTGGACAAAATATATATTTTTAAATAAAAATAAAAATACTTTGGTACTTTACAGTGCAGGGTTTGATATTGTGGAAATCAAAGACAAGATGATTTTATATGATGTTGTTTCCACTGGATCAAGAAATACAAGTGTGACGTATAAAAGTGTGACGTATAAAAGTGTGACGTATAAAAGTGTGACGTATAAAAGTGAATGAATCTGTGATCCTTTTAGTAGAAAAAAACAATAACAAAACCACAGCACTTTGCAGAGAGACGCACACAAGTCTAAGGTGCAACCGAACGGAGAGCGCATCTGCGAGGGCTGTGTGTGTGTGTCTGTGTCTGTATGTGTGTGTCTGTATGTATGCGTGTGTGTGTGTCTGTGTGCGTGTGTGTGTGTGTATGTATGCGTGTGTGTGTGTGTGTGTGTGTGCGTGCGTCTGTGTGTGTGTGTGTCTGTATGTGTGTGTGTGTGTGTGTGTGTGCGTGTGTGTGTGTGTATGTATGCGTGTGTGTGTGTGTGTGTGTGTGTGCGTGTGTGTGTGTATGTATGCGTGTGTGTGTGTGTGTGTGCGTGTGTGTGTGTGTGTCTGTATGTGTGCGTGCATGTGTCTACATGTGTGCGTGTGTCTGTATGTGTGTGTGTGTGTGTCTGTATGTGTGCGTGCGTGTGTCTGTATGTGTGCGTGTGTCTGTATGTGTCTGTATGTGTGTGTGTGTGTGTGTCTGTATGTGTGCGTGCGTGTGTCTGTATGTGTGTGTGTGTGTGTGTCTGTATGTGTGAGTGTGTGTGTCTGTATGCGTGTGTGTGTGTGTGTCTGTATGTGTGCGTGCGTGTGGACCGCTGCAGTCCTGAGTGGATTGGATGGTATAGATTTGTATCGATCCGTTTGGCGTGAGGCAGTTTGATTTTCAGAGCTAGCACCGAATCTGCAAAGTGCTAAGTACTTTCCCAGGACCGCATCAGTGTGTGACCTGGAGATATCCTGCTGCAGTCCTGTACCAGGTGTGTGTCCTGTACCAGGTGTGTGTCCTGTACCAGGTGTGTGTCCTGCACCAGGTGTGTGTCCTGAACCAGGTGTGTGTCCTGTACCAGGTGTGTGTCCTGAACCAGGTGTGTGTCCTGTACCAGGTGTGTGTCCTGAACCAGGTGTGTGTCCTGTACCAGGTGTGTGTCCTGAACCAGGTGTGTGTCCTGTACCAGGTGTGTGTCCTGTACCAGGTGTGTGTCCTGCACCAGGTGTGTGTCCTGCACCAGGTGTGTGTCCTGTACCAGGTGTGTGTCCTGTACCAGGTGTGTGTCCTGAACCAGGTGTGTGTCCTGAACCAGGTGTGTGTCCTGAACCAGGTGTGTGTCCTGTACCAGGTGTGTGTCCTGAACCAGGTGTGTGTCCTGAACCAGGTGTGTGTCCTGAACCAGGTGTGTGTCCTGTACCAGGTGTGTGTCCTGAACCAGGTGTGTGTCCTGAACCAGGTGTGTGTCCTGAACCAGGTGTGTGTCCTGAACCAGGTGTGTGTCCTGTACCAGGTGTGTGTCCTGAACCAGGTGTGTGTCCTGAACCAGGTGTGTGTCCTGAACCAGGTGTGTGTCCTGAACCAGGTGTGTGTCCTGTACCAGGTGTGTGTCCTGAACCAGGTGTGTGTCCTGAACCAGGTGTGTGTCCTGAACCAGGTGTGTGTCCTGAACCAGGTGTGTGTCCTGAACCAGGTGTGTGTCCTGAACCAGGTGTGTGTCCTGAACCAGGTGTGTGTCCTGTACCAGGTGTGTGTCCTGTACCAGGTGTGTGTCCTGAACCAGGTGTGTGTCCTGAACCAGGTGTGTGTCCTGAACCAGGTGTGTGTCCTGTACCAGGTGTGTGTCCTGTACCAGGTGTGTGTCCTGTACCAGGTGTGTGTCCTGTACCAGGTGTGTGTCCTGTACCAGGTGTGTGTCCTGAACCAGGTGTGTGTCCTGTACCAAGTGTGTGTCCTGAACCAGGTGTGTGTCCTGAACCAGGTGTGTGTCCTGAACCAGGTGTGTGTCCTGAACCAGGTGTGTGTCCTGAACCAGGTGTGTGTCCTGAACCAGGTGTGTGTCCTGAACCAGGTGTGTGTCCTGAACCAGGTGTGTGTCCTGAACCAGGTGTGTGTCCTGAACCAGGTGTGTGTCCTGTACCAGGTGTGTGTCCTGTACCAGGTGTGTGTCCTGTACCAGGTGTGTGTCCTGAACCAGGTGTGTGTCCTGAACCAGGTGTGTGTCCTGTACCAGGTGTGTGTCCTGAACCAGGTGTGTGTCCTGAACCAGGTGTGTGTCCTGAACCAGGTGTGTGTCCTGTACCAGGTGTGTGTCCTGTACCAGGTGTGTGTCCTGTACCAGGTGTGTGTCCTGTACCAGGTGTGTGTCCTGAACCAGGTGTGTGTCCTGTACCAGGTGTGTGTCCTGAACCAGGTGTGTGTCCTGAACCAGGTGTGTGTCCTGAACCAGGTGTGTGTCCTGAATCAGGTGTGTGTCCTGAACCAGGTGTGTGTCCTGTACCAGGTGTGTGTCCTGAACCAGGTGTGTGTCCTGAACCAGGTGTGTGTCCTGAACCAGGTGTGTGTCCTGAACCAGGTGTGTGTCCTGAACCAGGTGTGTGTCCTGTACCAGGTGTGTGTCCTGTACCAGGTGTGTGTCCTGAACCAGGTGTGTGTCCTGAACCAGGTGTGTGTCCTGAACCAGGTGTGTGTCCTGAACCAGGTGTGTGTCCTGAACCAGGTGTGTGTCCTGTACCAGGTGTGTGTCCTGTACCAGGTGTGTGTCCTGTACCAGGTGTGTGTCCTGAACCAGGTGTGTGTCCTGAACCAGGTGTGTGTCCTGTACCAGGTGTGTGTCCTGAACCAGGTGTGTGTCCTGAACCAGGTGTGTGTCCTGAACCAGGTGTGTGTCCTGAACCAGGTGTGTGTCCGGAACCAGGTGTGTGTCCTGAACCAGGTGTGTGTCCTGAACCAGGTGTGTGTCCTGTACCAGGTGTGTGTCCTGAACCAGGTGTGTGTCCTGTACCAGGTGTGTGTCCTGTACCAGGTGTGTGTCCTGTACCAGGTGTGTGTCCTGTACCAGGTGTGTGTCCTGAACCAGGTGTGTGTCCTGAACCAGGTGTGTGTCCTGTACCAGGTGTGTGTCCTGTACTCGGTGTGTGTCTCTGACTCTGAGCCCGTGACCTGCTCTCCTCCCACAGCGTGATGCATTCTGGGACAGGGGCCAGCGCTGTTGGCAAGTGTCTGTGTGTGTGTGTGTATATGTGTGTCTATGTGCGTCTATATGTGTCTGTATGTGTCTGTATGTCTGTCTGTATTTGTCTGTTTGTGTATGTGTGTCTGTATGTCTGTGTGTGTGTGTGTGTGTGCGTGGTGTGTGCACACTTACCTTGTCTATTCTCTTGTGTTAGCGTGATCATGCTGCCGTCTTCTGCTGAGCCCTTCTCCAGATTCTCTAGAATCTGCTCAGATAAAAGTAGACGTCTTAAACACAGGTCATAATCTGCATCAGGGGTCTGCAACCTGTGGCTCAGAAGCTACCAGTAGCTCGCCAGCCCCTTTCAGGTAGCTCCCTAAAGGATTTAGAATTCAACACATGATCCTGAATGATTCACTTTTGAGTCAATACATGTCTATTATAAGTATAAATATAGGATTATACAGTGTTATGGTATATTTTACATGTGTTCTCCATGTTCTGTGGAGAACACATGTGACATTTGGAATTATGGAGTAGCTCTCTGCCGTTTCTGTTGTATAGAAGTAGCTCTCCTGTGTTGTTTAAAAGTAGCTCTTTTCTGTTGTATAGAAGTAGCTCTCTGCCTCTTCTGTAGTACAAAAGTAGCTCTCTTCAGTTGTACAAAAGTAGCTCTCTTCTGTGGTATAGAAGTAGCTCTCCTGTGTTGTTTAAAAGTAGCTCTCTTCTGTTGTATAGAAGTAGCTCTCTTCTGTGGTATAGAAGTAGCTCTCTTCTGTGGTATAGAAGTAGCTCTCCTGTGTTGTACAAAAGTAGCTCTCTTCAGTTGTACAAAAGTAGCTCTCTTCTGTTGTATAGAAGTAGCTCTCTGCCTCTTCTGTTGTACAAAAGTAGCTCTCTGCCTCTTCTGTTGTACAAAAGTAGCTCTCTTCAGTTGTACAAAAGTAGCTCTCTTCTGTGGTATAAAAGTAGCTCTTTGCCTCTTCAGTTGTACAAAAGTAGCTCTCTTCTGTGGTATAGAAGTAGCTCTCCTGTGTTGTTTAAAAGTAGCTCTCTTCTGTGGTAAAGAAGTAGCTCTCTGATTGCAAAGGTTAGAGACCCCTGATGTGATTGGTCAGATGTGAGTGACAGCCCAGAGCAGTGAAAGGTTTCATGTTTTTCAGTCAGAAATAGCTGGATACCTCCTCACTAGTGGACCTTTAAAATACTTGTAATATTTACGTTTACGTTTCCTTTGGTTAAATGTGTGAATGTTGTAAACAGCAGACAGCGTGTCACACTTTTAGGTCTGAAAAGGTTTTGCTGAATACAACTCATAAACTATTTGATTCCAGTCTGGTTAAACGACACATGGTACTCGGACGATACGATGGTGCTTATATCACTATGCTGCCGAACGGAACGGATTCAAGAGATCTTTTGTTCCTTCTGCTGTCAGACTGTACAACAAACCTGGACGAGTTAAAAATATGCACTATTGTTAGGTAGTTAGAAATGTTTATAATTAATGTACAAATGTGTTTTCTGCTGCTGGACATTTCTCCAACAGGGATCAATAAAGTATCTATGTATATATGTATTTATGTATCTACTGAACCAACATGACTACAATCTGAAGTCCTTACAGCCAATCATCTGCCGAGAAGTCTGGAAATAACCAAACATTCTAACAACACGTTCCTTTTGCAGAATATGCATCAACATCTGCTCATATACTTTTTTACTTATTTATCTTTACACCTGAGCACATCACGTTCACCCACCTCCGCCGCTCTGTGCCCAAGAATCTCCACGTGCAGTACCTTTTCCACGTGGGTGGTTTATGTATGTACGGTGTGTGTGTGCATGTGTGTGTGTGTACAGTGTGTGCGCGTGTGTGCGCGTGTGTGCGTATGTGTGTGTGTCCAGAGGCGGTGTGGGGGGGGTGTGTACTAACTGTGAGGCAGACGGTCCGGAGGGAGTGCAGCCGGTCCAGAGCCTCCTGCGGCTTGGCCAGGTACTGTGGGAGCTCAGCGTGCAGCAGACGCATGGACCACGGCACCATGGAGCCTGTGGAGAGAGAGGAGGAGGTTAGGAGGAGCTGAGGAGGAGGTGAGGCCGGGTGGAGCGAGAGGAGGAGGTGAGGCTGGGTGGAGCGAGAGGAGGAGGTGAGGCTGGGTCGAGCGAGAGGAGGAGGTGAGGCCGGGTGGAGCGAGAGGAGGAGGTGAGGCCGGGTGGAGCGAGAGGAGGAGGTGAGGCCGGGTGGAGCGAGAGGAGGAGGTGAGGCTGGGTGGAGCGAGAGGAGGAGGTGAGGCTGGGTGGAGCGAGAGGAGGAGGTGAGGCCGGGTGGAGCGAGAGGAGGAGGTGAGGCCGGGTGGAGCGAGAGGAGGAGGTGAGGACGGGTGGAGCGAGAGGAGGAGGTGAGGCCGGGTGGAGCGAGAGGAGGAGGTGAGGCCGGGTGGAGGAGGGAGGAGGAGGTGAGGCGGGTGGAGCGGAGAGGAGGGAGGTGAGGCCGGGTGGAGCGAGAGGAGGAGGTGAGGCCGGGTGGAGCGAGGGAGGAGGTGAGCGGGACGAGAGGAGGAGGAGGTGAGGTGAGGCCGGGTGGAGCGAGAGGAGGAGGTGAGGCCGGGTGGAGCGAGAGGAGGAGGTGAGGCCGGGGGGGAGCGAGAGGAGGAGGTGAGGCCGGGTGGAGCGAGCGAGAGGAGGAGGTGAGGCCGGGTGGAGCGAGAGGAGGAGGTGAGGGGGGGAGCGAGAGGAGGAGGTGAGGCCGGGTGGAGCGAGAGGAGGAGGTGAGGCGGGTGGAGGCGGGTGGAGCGGAGGGAGGTGAGGCTGGGTGGAGCGAGGAGGAGGTGAGGTGAGGCCGGGTGGGAGCGAGAGGAGGAGGTGAGGCCGGGTGGAGCGAGAGGAAGAGGTGAGGACGGGTGGAGCGAGAGGAAGAGGTGAGGCTGGGTGGAGCGAGAGGAGGAGGTGAGGCCGGGTGGAGCGAGAGGAGGAGGTGAGGCCGGGTGGAGCGAGAGGAGGAGGTGAGGCCGGGTGGAGCGAGAGGAGGAGGTGAGGCCGGGTGGAGCGAGAGGAGGAGGTGAGGCTGGGTGGAGCGAGAGGAGGAGGTGAGGCTGGGTGGAGCGAGAGGAGGAGGTGAGGCCGGGTGGAGCGAGAGGAGGAGGTGAGGCCGGGTGGAGCGAGAGGAAGAGGTGAGGACGGGTGGAGCGAGAGGAGGAGGTGAGGCCGGGTGGAGCGAGAGGAGGAGGTGAGGCCGGGTGGAGCGAGAGGAGGAGGTGAGGCCAGGTGGAGCGAGAGGAGGAGGTGAGGCTGGGTGGAGCGAGAGGAGGAGGTGAGGCCGGGTGCTGCGGAGGAGGAGGTGAGGCCGGGTGGAGCGAGAGGAGGAGGTGAGGCCGGGTGGAGCGAGAGGAGGAGGTGAGGCCGGGTGGAGCGAGAGGAGGAGGCGAGGCTGGGTGGAGCGAGAGGAGAAGGTGAGGCCGGGTGGAGCGAGAGGAGGAGGTGAGGCTGGGTGGAGCGAGAGGAGGAGGTGAGGCCGGGTGTAGCGAGAGGAGGAGGTGAGGCTGGGTGGAGCGAGAGGAGGAGGTGAGGACGGGTGGAGCGAGAGGAGGAGGTGAGGACGGGTGGAACGAGAGGAGGAGGTGAGGCCGGGTGGAGCGAGAGGAGGAGGTGAGGCCGGGTGGAGCGAGAGGAGGAGGTGAGGCCGGGTGGAGCGAGAGGAGGAGGTGAGGCCGGGTGGAGCGAGAGGAGGAGGTGAGGCTGGGTGGAGCAAGAGGAGGAGGTGAGGCCGGGTGGAGCGAGAGGAGGAGGTGAGGCCGGGTGGAGCGAGAGGAGGAGGTGAGGCTGGGTGGAGCGAGAGGAGGAGGTGAGGCTGGGTGGAGCGAGAGGAGGAGGTGAGGCTGGGTGGAGCGAGAGGAGGTGGAGAGGAGGAGGTGACACTGGGAGGACTCAGACTCTGATTGGTCCATAACGGCTCCGTCAAACAAGAATTCATTATTAGTTCCAACAGTGTTTTCCAACCACTGGGCCGCGGTACATTAGTGTGTCAGATGTTATGCCTTGGTCAAAACAATGTGAGATAGAAAATAATAATAAGTTTAGAAATACTTCTTTACACTTCTTTGATGTTCTGTATCAAACACTTTGATGAGAATGACTTTGTTTCGTTACTAAAAGCTGCAGAGCTACATTTGGTACATATGTTATTGTTTTAGATTAAAAAGGTTTGGGAACACTGAGTTACAAAAACACATCTGTAAATACTTATGAACCAGTGACATTATAGCTCCAGAGTTTATTTTACCATCTTATGATTTTAATTCTATTGTTTATTATTTTATCTGTTTGTTGTGAGCGTCTGACTCTGCTGTAACGATGACACTGACACTTCCCCTGAGGACCAACACCTTTGATTTATAACTATAATACATTTGATAATTACTATTTAGAAGGATCAATTTTGTTTTTGCTGCTACTGGACACCTGGATTTCACCGAGAGGGATAAATAAAAGGTAAATAAAGTATCAATAAAGTATCTATAAAGGATCAATAAAGTATCTATCTATCCAAAGGAATAGTTTATCTTAGTTATAGCACATGTGACCATAACTGAAGAGAAACAAGAAATATGGAAGACACAGGAGGTTCAATGTTCAGAGCGTGGGTTTGAATCTCGTTCCTTTCTGAGTGGACTTTTGCATGTTCTCCCTGTCCCTGAGTGAGTTTCCTCCAGCTCCATTAGTCCTGACTGAGCTGTAACACCTGCAGACGGCCTCCGGGGGCAGCACTGCTCCTGACAGAGGCTTTAGAGGCAAAGAGGGACGGGTCAAATGTAGGACAAATAACTTTCCAGTGTCTTAACCTTGAAGACATATTTTAAATTTTTCTCTTTTTAATTTTCTAAGAGGTAAGACAAAAACGTTTTGTTTTATTTTTAACCCCTATTTTTTATAGTTCTTTGTCCCAACAGAAAGAGTCTTGTGAATGTAATCAGACCACAACCTGCTTTCTCTACCTTATTAGTTACTATTATTAAAGGGGTTTTCTCTCTTTTCAACTTTTCCGTCTAAAAAGCTGATCTAAAATTGAGACAGAGGCCAAAAATACATGAATGTGAAATAAGTAAAAAAAAAAAAAAATTACTGACCAGAGAGATACTAGAGAGAGACTAGAGAGAGACCAGAGAGAGACCAGAGAGACCAGAGAGAGACCAGAGAGAGACCAGAGAGACCAGAGAGAGACCAGAGAGAGACCAGAGAGAGACCAGAGAGAGAGACCAGAGAGAGACCAGAGAGAGACCAGAGAGAGACCAGAGAGACCAGAGAGAGACCAGAGAGAGACCAGAGAGAGAGACCAGAGAGAGACCAGAGAGAGACCAGAGAGAGACCAGAGAGAGACCAGAGAGTGACCAGAGAAAGACCAGAGAGAGACCAGAGAGAGACCAGAGAGAGACCAGAGAGAGAGGCCAGAGAGAGAGACCAGAGAGAGACCAGAGAGGGATCAGAGAGAGGCCAGAGAGACCAGAGAGAGACCAGAGAGAGAGACCAGAGAGAGACCAGAGAGAGACCAGAGAGAGACCAGAGAGTGACCAGAGAGTGACCAGAGAAAGACCAGAGAGAGACCAGAGAGAGACCAGAGAGAGACCAGAGAGAGAGGCCAGAGAGAGAGACCAGAGAGAGACCAGAGAGTGATCAGAGAGAGGCCAGAGAGAGACCAGAGAGAGACCAGAGAGAGACCAGAGAGACCAGAGAGAGACCAGAGAGAGAGACCAGAGAGAGACCAGAGAGAGGCCAGAGAGAGACCAGAGAGAGACCAGAGAGAGAGACCAGAGAGAGACCAGAGAGAGACCAGAGAGAGACCAGAGAGAGACCAGAGAGAGACCAGAGAGTGACCAGAGAGAGACCAGAGAGAGACCAGAGAGAGACCAGAGAGAGACCAGAGAGATACCAGAGAGAGACCAGAGAGAGACCAGAGAGAGACCAGAGAGATACCAGAGAGAGACCAGAGAGAGACCAGACCAGAGAGAGACCAGAGAGAGGCCAGAGAGAGAGACCAGAGAGAGACCAGAGAGAGACCAGAGAGTGACCAGAGAGAGACCAGAGAGGGATCAGAGAGAGGCCAGAGAGTGACCAGAGAGTGACCAGAGAAAGAGACCAGAGAGAGAGACCAGAGAGAGACCAGAGAGAGACCAGAGAGAGACCAGAGAGAGAGACCAGAGAGAGAGGCCAGAGAGAGAGACCAGAGAGAGACCAGAGAGAGATACCAGAGAGAGACCAGAGAGAGACCAGAGAGAGACCAGAGAGAGACCAGAGAGATACCAGAGAGAGACCAGAGAGAGACCAGAGAGAGACCAGAGAGAGACCAGAGAGAGAGGCCAGAGAGAGAGACCAGAGAGAGAGACCAGAGAGAGAGACCAGAGAGAGAGACCAGAGAGGGATCATAGAGACCAGAGAGAGACCAGAGAGAGACCAGAGAGAGACCAGAGAGAGACCAGAGAGAGACCAGAGAGAGAGACCAGAGACAGACCAAAGAGATCCCAGACTAAACTGGGGACTTTTGCAAATGTATTCCAATGTGGTTCTACTGGAAATGGCAAATAAAATAATCTGAATCTGAGATGGGAGACGTGAAACCAGAACTGCCCTTCACATGAATGATCTCAGAGCGTAAATTACAACAAAACCACCTCGGACAGTCAAATTCCAAATGAAAAATGTGGAAAATTAAGAAGATTTAGTCGATTAATCCATGCACAGTGTTTAGTCGAATGCATCTCTTTAGAGAGAGATGAGGGACTGGGAAGAGGAAGAGGTTGGGAGGAGGGAGTGCGAGAGACAAGGAAATAGGAGCCAGGGTGGGATGAGGACAGAGCCGGGGAGAGGAATCGAAAAAAAAAACATTGAGGGAAGGCGGAGAGAGACGAGATGAGAATATAAAACCATCCACCCACACACAAGACTGCACACAGCCCTGGAGGCAGCAACCTACAGATGGCATTGAGCTACGTACGGCTGCTTATTAAACCTGCGTGTGTGTGTACGTGTGTGTGTGCGTGCGTGTATATGTGTGTGTGCGTGTATATGTGTGTAAGCCAGCAACCATCACTCATGTCTACGCCTCCATCACTCACAGTATCTCACTCATTCACACGCAAGCAAAAAGCCACACACACACACACACACACACACACACACACACACACATATATACAGGTACACACACACACACAAACACACGCACACGTACGTACACACTCACACACACACACAGATGCACAAACAGGAAGAGCCTATATTCAGGTGAGTCCTCAGGCTTTGATCACGGCCTCTTTGAAACCGCCATCAGATCTCAGGCAGCTTGGTCTCTCTGCAGCTGTTCTCCTCCATCTCTCCATCTCCATCTATCACTGTTCTGTCCCCTGCAAGGTCCAGACCCCCCCTGCAAAGTCTAGACCCCCGCTGCAAGGTCCAGACCCCCGCTGCAAGGTCCAGACCCCCCCCTGCAAGGTCCAGACCCCCCCTGCAAAGTCTAGACCCCGTGCAAGGTCTAGCCCCCTCCTGGCATGTCTAGCCCCCCCCTGAAAGTTCTAGTTCCCTCTGACATGTCTGGGCCTCTCTGACATGTCTGGGCCTCTCTGACATGTCTAGGCCTCTCTGACATGTCTAGGCCTCTCTGACATGTCTAGGCCCCTCTGACATGTCTAGGACCCTCTGACATGTCTAGGACCCTCTGACATGTCTAGGCCTCTCTGACATGTCTAGGCCTCTCTGACATGTCTAGGCCCCTCTGACATGTCTAGGACCCTCTGACATGTCTAGGACCCTCTGACATGTCTAAGCCTCTCTGACATGTCTAAGCCTCTCTGACATGTCTAAGCCTCTCTGACATGTCTAGGACCCTCTGACATGTCTAGGACCCTCTGACATGTCTAGGACCCTCTGACATGTCTAGGACCCTCTGACATGTCTAGGACCCTCTGACATGTCTAGGCCTCTCTGACATGTCTAGGCCTCTCTGACATGTCTAGGCCTCTCTGACATGTCTAGGCCCCTCTGACATGTCTAGGACCCTCTGACATGTCTAGGACCCTCTGACATGTCTAGGCCTCTCTGACATGTCTAGGCCCCTCTGACATGTCTAGGACCCTCTGACATGTCTAGGACCCTCTGACATGTCTAAGCCTCTCTGACATGTCTAAGCCTCTCTGACATGTCTAGGACCCTCTGACATGTCTAGGACCCTCTGACATGTCTAGGCCTCTCTGACATGTCTAGGCCTCTCTGACATGTCTAGGCCTCTCTGACATGTCTAGGCCTCTCTGACATGTCTAGGCCTCTCTGACACGTCTAGGCCTCTCTGACATGTCTGGGCCTCTCTGACATGTCTGGGCCTCTCTGACATGTCTAGGCCTCTCTGACATGTCTAGGCCCCTCTGACATGTCTAGGACCCTCTGACATGTCTAGGACCCTCTGACATGTCTAGGACCCTCTGACATGTCTAGGACCCTCTGACATGTCTAGGCCTCTCTGACATGTCTAGGCCTCTCTGACATGTCTAGGCCTCTCTGACATGTCTAGGCCCCTCTGACATGTCTAGGACCCTCTGACATGTCTAGGACCCTCTGACATGTCTAGGCCTCTCTGACATGTCTAGGCCCCTCTGACATGTCTAGGACCCTCTGACATGTCTAGGACCCTCTGACATGTCTAAGCCTCTCTGACATGTCTAAGCCTCTCTGACATGTCTAGGACCCTCTGACATGTCTAGGACCCTCTGACATGTCTAGGCCTCTCTGACATGTCTAGGCCTCTCTGACATGTCTAGGCCTCTCTGACATGTCTAGGCCTCTCTGACATGTCTAGGCCTCTCTGACACGTCTAGGCCTCTCTGACATGTCTGGGCCTCTCTGACATGTCTGGGCCTCTCTGACATGTCTGGGCCTCTCTGACATGTCTGGGCCTCTCCGACATGTCTAGGCCTCTCTGACATGTCTGGGCCTCTCCGACATGTCTAGGCCTCTCTGACACGTCTAGGCTCCTCCGACATGTCTAGGCCTCTCTGACATGTCTAGGCTCCTCTGACATGTATAGGCCCCGCTGACATGTCTAGGGTCCTCTGACATGTCTAGGCCCCTCTGACATGTCTAGGCCTCTCTGACATGTCTAGGTCCCTCTGACATGTCTAGGCCCCTCTGACATGTCTAGGACCCTCTGACATGTCTAGGCCTCTCTGACATGTCTAGGCTCCTCTGACATGTATAGGCCCCGCTGACATGTCTAGGGTCCTCTGACATGTCTAGGCCCCTCTGACATGTCTAGGACCCACTGACATGTCTAGGTCCCTCTGATATGTCTAGGTCCCTCTGACATGTCTAGGCCCCTCTGACATGTCTAGGCTCCTCTGACATGTATAGGCCCCGCTGACATGTCTAGGCCCCTCTGACATGTCTAGGCCCCTCTGACATGTCTAGGCTCCTCTGACATGTATAGGCCCCGCTGACATGTCTAGGCCCCGCTGACATGTCTAGGCCCCTCTGACATGTCTAGGCCCCTCTGACATGTCTAGGCTCCTCTGACATGTATAGGCCCCGCTGACATGTCTAGGCTCCTCTGACATGTATAGGTCCCTCTGACATGTCTGGGCCTCTCTGACATGTCTAGGCCCCTCTGACATGTCTAGGCTCCTCTGACATGTAGTGGCCCCGCTGACATGTCTAGGCTGCTCTGACATGTCTAGGCTCCTCTGACATGTCTGGGCCTCTCTGACATGTCTAGGCCTCTCTGACATGTCTAGGCCTCTCTGACATGTCTAGGTCCCTCTGACATGTCTAGGCCTCTCTGACACGTCTAGGCCTCTCTGACATGTCTAGGCCCCTCTGACATGTCTAGGCCTCTCTGACATGTCTAGGCCCCTCTGACATGTCTAGGCCTCTCTGACATGTCTAGGCCCCTCTGACATGTCTAGGCCTCTCTGACATGTCTAGGCCCCTCTGACATGTCTAGGCCTCTCTGACATGTCTAGGCCCCTCTGACATGTCTAGGCCTCTCTGACATGTCTAGGCCCCTCTGACATGTCTAGGCCCCTCTGACATGTCTAGGCCTCTCTGACATGTCTAGGCCTCTCTGACATGTCTAGGCCTCTCTGACACGTCTAGGCCTCTCTGACACGTCTAGGCCTCTCTGACACGTCTAGGCCTCTCTGACACGTCTAGGCCTCTCTGACACGTCTAGGCCTCTCTGACATGTCTAGGCCCCTCTGACATGTCTAGGCCTCTCTGACATGTCTAGGCCCCTCTGACATGTCTAGGCCTCTCTGACATGTCTAGGCCTCTCTGACATGTCTAGGTCCCTCTGACATGTCTAGGCCTCTCTGACACGTCTAGGCCTCTCTGACACGTCTAGGCCTCTCTGACATGTCTAGGCCTCTCTGACATGTCTAGGCCTCTCTGACACGGCTAGGCCTCTCTGACACGTCTAGGCCTCTCTGACACGTCTAGGCCTCTCTGACATGTCTAGGCCTCTCTGACACGTCTAGGCCTCTCTGACACGTCTAGGCCTCTCTGACACGTCTAGGCCTCTCTGACACGTCTAGGCCTCTCTGACACGTCTAGGCCTCTCTGACACGTCTAGGCCTCTCTGACACGTCTAGGCCTCTCTGACACGTCTAGGCCTCTCTGACACGTCTAGGCCTCTCTGACACGTCTAGGCCTCTCTGACACGTCTAGGCCTCTCTGACACGTCTAGGCCTCTCTGACATGTCTAGGCCAGCTTTATAGACTCTAGTTGAGACCGATATTGTATTTTCCAGACTAAAAGCCGCACCTGTCCCACTTTATAATAATGAAAAATGTAGTTCATCATGTTTTTAGTACTGTGAGTAAAACGTGAAGCAGAAAGATCAAGAACAACATCGACAGTTGCTCTGTTCACGCTCAGGTCGATACAAAGAACCAAAAAACTAGATTCAGACTTTTAAACTGAATTCATTCTGCTTGATTGACATGTCTTACAATTCATTTGGACCTTAGTGAACTACTCAGCAATTCTGTTGTCGGCTGATATTTGGAAAAATATTTTTGGCGCCACAGAAAAAAACAATAGATTTAAGCCGCACCTGACTATAAGCCGCACTCTTCAAAATGCAGGAAAAAAGCTGCAGCTTATAGGTCTGGAATTTACAGTTTTTGATTAAACTATCATAGTTTCACTATCACTTTCATAAATACAAATATGTCTCAAGGGAACCGTCTTGTTTAAGTATCATTTAGTGAACACATCCGACCACATGCGGTTTTTATCCTGATATAAACATCTTAACAGCTTGTCCTCTTCTTTTCACTGAGAAACTGGACTAAAGAAGTGGATAAAACAGTCGCATGTGAAACTCGAACCAAACAGTTTTGAGAGAATGAGTTACATGTGGCAGTGTTCCGTATTACACAGTTATTTTAGTGGTTTCAAAGCTTTTTACTGCAGCTATAAACAATAAAACACACCTTTTAATCCACTCTGACACATTCATTTGGGCCATTTGGGCATAAGGCCAGTCCATTCACTTCTTACTTACATCACAGCTGCACTAACTCACTTTGTGAAAGTTTCAAATGTGAGCGCTGGTCTCGCTCTTTCTGCTCCCCCTCCCCAAAATCACGGAGCTATCGCCAACCACTACCCTCCTCCTCCTCAGCCGCACATGTGGTCCACTCAGCCACCGTGCTGCACGGGCGCGACGGTGCAGCACGATCTCAGCAAGAAGGTCCTGGGTTCGAATCCCGGTTGGACCAGGGCCTTTCTGAGTGGAGTTTGCATGTTCTTTCCCCTACCACTAAAAATATGTGCAATAGGTCTGGCATGTGCCTCCTGTACTGGCACCCCCACTCCCAAAAATAACAATTGTAAACCGCTTTGAGACTCCAATGTGCAGTGAAAAGGCGGTATATAAATAAAGATTACTTACTACTAATTGTTTACGGAGCTCACGTTTCACAATATGGATCGCACATTTGAACGTGGCGTGACCATAAAATGATAGAACCGAGAAGCGCAGAGGAACGAGACTTTCTTTTGGCTGTTTTGCTGAGTAAGCAGTAACCGTAACGAAGACACGTTTACCTCAGCTGTCTGTGCTAACCACAGACCTGTGGCTTTTCTCAAGAAAGTGGGGGCCAGTGGTGCGCTGTGATTGGTCACAATCTGGTCCCAAAACAAAATCTCTTCCTTGTTGCAGAAAAACTTGATCTAAAATAAAAGGACACGCCAGCACAAACCTGTCCTTCTTTTTCTGGGCGGCACGGTGGCTGAGTGGATAGCACTCTCGCCTCTCAGCAAGAAGGTCCTGGGTTCGAATCCCGGTCGGACCAGGGCCTTTCTGAGTGGAGTTTGCATGTTCTCCCCGTGTCTGCGTAGGTTTCCTCCGGGTACTCCGGTTTCCCCTGCCACTAAAAATATGTCCAATAGTTCTGGCATGTGCCTCCTGTACTGGTGACCCCGCTCCCATCTCTGTGTGGAGTGAGAGACAAATGCCCAAAAATTAACAATTGTAAACCGCTTTGAGACTCAGATCTGCAGTGAAAAGGCGGTATATAAATAAAAACTTACTTACTTACTTACTTCTTCAAAAGGACATAAATCCCAATGCATTCATGGATATGGATTGAATTTCCGTAATGAGTACAAAAATAAAGTCAGGTAACGCAGCTTTAAAGCTAAAAACCATCATTCATTTCCGTATTGTTATGTGCAGGGCTAGTCTGTAATTACAACATTCAGCCACAGATAAAACTTTCCCGTATATTCCTGTGGCTTTCTTCTTTTAATATTCACCTTTTCAATTGGACTTTTCCATTCATTCGTCAAACAATGCAACTCGACATTGACGTGTTTTTTTCCCTCTGCATTTGGAGTCTACGGAGACTTTGGCACGGCCAGCTTGTCTCTTCAGGCGCTCAGAGAGTATGATCGTGGGTAATAGATATTCGATGCAAGCGCCGGGCTGGAGGAATGTTCGACTTCTGACGCCGGGCTATAAAACTCGTGCCAGTTATGTCTGCGAGCACCTAGCAGGTCACAAAGCGTTTAATATTGAGCAACGGCAAGTCAATCGGTGCGCTGTAGCTTTGAGTACTCCTGGTTTTGGTTGCTATGAGTGGGTTTGCTGCTTGTATGTGTATGTGTGTGTGTGTGTGTGTGTGTGTGTGTCTGCCGCTGCTGCCTTCACTACAGTAGCCTGAGGGGCGAAGCAGATCCAAAGTAATGGGAATACATTAGAGAGCAATTCATGCAGTGTAAAAGGAGGAAAAACAAAACCAAAGAACTGCTGGAGACGGGGAGCGATCTCAACAGCGCAGTGTAATATGGCGCTCCTGGCAGAAACTTTCTGTTGCATATTTAAAAAGACAATGGTATGTATGTGTGGTGTCCTACAAGAGTCTGTGCAACACCCGAGAGGGGAGCCCGAGACTGAGCCCGAGATGGGAGCCTGAGATGGGAGCCTGAGATGGGAGCCCGAGATGGGAGCCCGAGACTGAGCCCGAGATGGGAGCCTGAGATGGGAGCCTGAGATGGGAGCCTGAGATGGGAGCCTGAGATGGGAGCCCGAGATGGGAGCCCGAGACTGAGCCCGAGATGGGAGCCTGAGATGGGAGCCTGAGATGGGAGCCCGAGATGGGAGCCTGAGATGGGAGCCCGAGATGGGAGCCCGAGACTGAGCCCGAGATGGGAGCCTGAGATGGGAGCCTGAGATGGGAGCCCGAGATGGGAGCCTGAGAGGGGAGCCTGAGAGGGGAGCCTGAGAGGGGAGCCCGAGAGGGGAGCCCGAGACTGAGCCCGAGATGGGAGCCTGAGAGGGGAGCCCGAGACTGAGCCCGAGGAAAATTACCGCCAAAATGTGATGAAATTCTGTCGACTTTTCAGAAAAAGTAGAAAAAGTAGTAGTAGAAGTGAGTGTATTTGTGTGTAAGTGTGTGTAAGTGTGCGTAAGTGTGTAAGTGTGTGTAGGTGTGTGTAAGTGTGTGTAAGTGTGTGTAAGTGTGCGTAAGTGTGTGTAGGTGTGTAAGTGTGTGTAGGTGTGTGTAAGTGTGTGTAAGTGTGTGTAAGTGTGTGTAAGTGTGCGTAAGTGTGTGTAAGTGTGCGTAAGTGTGTGTAAGTGTGTGTAAGTGTGTGTAAGTGTGCGTAAGTGTGTGCAGGTGTGCGTAAGTGAGTGTAGGTGTGTGTAAGTGTGTGTAGGTGTGTGTAGTTGTGTGTACCTCTCCATCCAGGGTACACAGTGGGGTAGTAGTGTGTAGTTGTGTGTAGTTGTGTGTACCTCTCCTCCCAGGGTACACAGTGGGGTAGTGGTGTGTAGTGGTGTGTAGTTGTGTGTAGTTGTGTGCAGTTGTGTGTACCTCTCCTCCCAGGGTACACAGTGGGGTAGTAGTGTGTAGGTGTGTGTAGGTGTGTGTAGTTGTGTGCAGTTGTGTGTACCTCTCCTCCCAGGGTACACAGTGGGGTAGTAGTGTGTAGGTGTGTGTAGGTGTGTGTAGTTGTGTGCAGTTGTGTGTACCTCTCCTCCCAGGGTACACAGTGGGGTAGTAGTGTGTAGGTGTGTGTAGGTGTGCGTAGTTGTGTGCAGTTGTGTGTACCTCTCCTCCCAGGGTACACAGTGGGGTAGTATTCGTAGTAAATATCTGGTTGGTCCAAGTTTCCAAAAGGCTCAAACTCCAGCTCCGCATTTTGGAAGAGGCTCAGCTTCGTCATTAAAGCCAGACGCACAAACCACAGCTGCAACACAAGACACACTAATCACACACTAATCACACACTCACAAACGCACACATGGAGGGATTTACTATTTCAAATACAGCAAATATGTTAATAATTGTGTCGGTCGAGTTCTGTGTGAATTTTTATGTTAGAAATGTGTGTATGTATGTGTTTATGTGTGTGTGTGTATGCATGTGTTTGTGTATGTATGTGTTTGTGTATGTGTGTGTGTATGTATACATGTGTGTATGTATGTGTGTATATGTATGTATGTGTGTATGTGTGTGTATATGTACAATGCCTTGCAAAAGTATTCGGCCCCCTTGAACCTTCAACATTTCGCCACATTTCAGGCTTCAAACATAAAGATGAATCAACAACAAGTGGGACACAATCGTGAAGTGGAACGAGATGTATTGGATAATTTAAACTTTAACAAATAAAAAACTGAAAAGTGAAATATTATTGGTCCCCTTTACTTTCAGTGCAGCAAACTCAGTCCAGAAGTTCAGTGAGGATCTTTGAATGATCCAATGTTGTCCTAAATGACTGATGATGATAAATAGAATGCACCTGTGTGTAATCAAGTCTCCGTATAAATGCACCTGCTCTTTGATAGTCTCAGGGTTCTGTTTAAAGCGCAGAGAGAACCATGAAGACAAAGGAACACACCAGGCAGGTCCGAGATACTGTTGTGGAGAAGTTTAAAGCCGGATTTGGATACAAAAAGATTTCCCAGGCTTTAAACATCTCAAGGAGCACTGTGCAAGCAATTATATTGAAATGGAAGGAGTATCAGACCACTGCAAATCTACCAAGACCCGGCCGTCCCTCCAAACTTTCATCTCAAACAAGGAGAAGACTGATCAGAGATGCAGCCAAGAGGCCCATGATCACTCTGGATGAACTGCAGATAACTACAGCTGAGGTGGGAGAGTCTGTCCATAGGACAACAATCAGTCGTGCACTGCACAAATCTGGCCTTTATGGAAGAGTGGCAAGAAGAAAGCCATTTCTCAAAGATATCCATACAAAGTCTGGTTTAAAGTTTGCCACAAGCCACCTGGGAGACACACCAAACATGTGGAAGAAGGTGCTCTGGTCAGATGGAACCAAAATCAAACTTTTTGGCCACAATGCAAAACGATATGTTTGGCGTAAAAGCAACACAGCTCATCACCCTGAACACACCATCCCCACTGTCAAACATGGTGGTGGCAGCATCATGCTTTGGGCCTGCTTTTCTTCAGCAGGGACAGGGAAGATGGCTAAAATTGATGGGAAGATGGATGGAGCCAAATACAGGACCAAGGAAGAATGGGCAAGAATTCCAGTCTCTCGATGTGCAAAACTGATAGAGACATACCCCAAGCGACTTGCAGCTGTAATTGCAGCAAAAGGTGGCGCTACAAAGTATTAGCGCAAGGGGGCCGAATAATATTGCACGCCCCACTTTTCAGTTTTTTATTTGTTCAAAAAGTTTAAATTATCCAATAAATTTTGTTCCACTTCACGATTGTGTCCCACTTGTTAAGTGAAAAGTAACATTTAATTTTTATATCTTTATGTTTGAAGCCTGAAATGTGGCGAAATGTTGAAAGGTTCAAGGGGGCCGAATATTTTTGCAAGGCACTGTATTTATGTAGTGTGGTGACAGTTTTTGGAGTAATTACATAAAACCAGCCGCAGCAAATACACGGACGTCAAAGGCCTTTTATCAAGGCAGAGACGCCCTTCTGACGCCATGCTGAGCTTTGTGAGGGCCCCCTGCTGTCTGTCACACCCTTGTGTCTTTCGTATCTTGATTCGGTATGCCTGCTCCTATCCATATGTCCCTGCTGCCAGGAAGGAGCCGGGCCCCCCCGACACCTACAGACAATGGCGATCACTCTTGCCCCCTTTCACCTCTTGCATATGTATCGGTCTGTATGTGTGCACTTTCTACATCCTGCAGTCTGTTTGCATCCCTATGCGCCTCCTGCACCGGTGGCCCCCCTCCCATCTGTTGTGGGCGGGACTGGCTTTGGTGTGTGTCTTGTATACAGGAAACTCGGGGCTCTGGCCCCAGAGCTGGGACATGCTGCCTTTGTGTGTATGTGCTGGCTCTCCACACGTGTGTTAACAATAAACTTACGCTTTTGATCAGACAAAGGACCTTTGAGTTTTCTCCTTCATGGGGTATATAATTCTACGACAATTTGGCGTTGCTGACAGTATGTATGTATGTACTGTAAATATAAAATAGCTAAAGCATTTCTCAACCTTTATGCTAAATATGTACATGTTTTATAAGTTCCCATATCTTTAAAATACAAGTTCAAAAAGTAAAGACAAAATAAATAATTTTTTAACTTTTTGACAAACTTTTGACACGAGGCTTTGCAAACTGTGCTTTTAGCTAATGTTAAAAGTCATCTCGTCCTATAGCGGCTAAGCTAATCTTCTGGCACCTCTACAGCGCTAACAGACTGCAGAAGTTTCACGCGGTGCCAATGTCCTGTGGGTAAAGAGTGGGTGGTTAGAGTAGTCCAGTGTGGTGCACAGATAACTTTGTTTATCATACTCAATATCACCAACGGAGCCATTTCTTATTATTGACCCTTCGACAGTTCAGGGCAGTATACAGCACCACTGTGAGAAGTCTGCGAGGGATGCTAATGTCCAACCCAGACCCATAAGAGGAAGTATTGCATAGCCCCAAGTCTTAAATGAGATCCTTCCACTAGTCTCTCATTTAAAACGATAATGAAATCAATAAAGAAGTAGAAAGTTACATATCAGTATGCCGGATTGTGTACTTTTGTTTTACTAATTGAATACGATTATAGCTCCGGGGTGCATCAATACAAAAACATAAGCCAGAATCAACATAATATAGTTAATAAATTAGCCCTCTATCAAAGGCAAAATGTAGAACTCTCAAAATACCCTGTTTGGGTTTTGGCTGCGGTTGCATTTGGTGTGTTTCCAGAAAAATCACAGCTCCCACTATTCTTCCCACCTACTGGCTTCAGGAAGATGGACAGAAGACGGAATGGTCACTGGCGTCATACCTGCAGAGAGTCGGTGGTGTGGGAGGTTGCCTGGCCCGCTTTCCCGTATCCCTGACCATGAGCTGTCAGCAGCCGGCCCGTCAAGTCCACCGCGGCACGCCAGTTCTTAGTGCTCTGCAGGGGAGAAGACACACATAACAGTACATAACATAGAGTCCAATCTGACAGGCGCACGGAGGCAGGGAGTTGGGCCGGTGGCAAAGACTGTACTGTAGCCATCTTAAACTTGATGTATGGTAAAGTGGTCCGACACGGAGTCTGTGGAAGTCAGACTCTCTGCAGCAGCTGTGGTGTTTGTGTGTGATCCTCCAGGGCTGCCCCAGTGGCTCCAACAGAGACCAGGAGAAGCCCAGCGGAGGCACAAATATAAGATAGTACTGCTTCAAAGTGTGTGTTTTTAACAGTTTGGATCTGACCGGATGTGTCCTGTTGTAACTGTGGAATTCTAAACCAACCGATTCTACAGAAACGTGATTTTTGGGGCATGAGATAATAATCCTAATCTGTCCAAACCTGATTAGCTCCGGGACTGTCTACATTTGAACAAGACAGAGCTGACACAATCCCTCTCTTCAATGTTGTTTTTACAGTCTATGGTTTTAACTTCTCGACATTTTACTGCCCACATTTATGAACAAAGGGTGAAAAGAAAGTGCCCGATCTTTAAAAAGTAACAGGACATAAATCTGTTTGTGTCTTTTAGGTCAGTTTCATTAAGATGATTGGTGTCTCTCAGTAATATTGGTTTTTAATGTTCGTTAATGAGATGAAAGGGGAGGATGCTCTAAATGATTGACAGCTTTAATAACCAATCCTGGTCATTATTTTTCAGAGCTCCACTTGTTCAGGGAAGTAAGCGAAAGGCATTTATCAACAGACGCTGCAGCGATCTGTAGAATAACACTTGGCCGACTGCAAACACTGGGTATAAGTTTCTCTACAGCAGTGTTTCCCAACCGGGGGTTCACGGACCCCTAGGAACACGCGGGGGGGCTACAGGTTAATATGGCTATGAGCGTTTTAAAGATGATTAAGTCAAGAAAAAAACCATAACTTCTATTCTATTGAAATTCTGTTATATTTATGTTGAAAGATTAAACTCTAAACACAAACAATAATTGGTCTATTACAAGACTTTCTTACTTCTGGTCCAATTTTGGTTCTGTCATGTTGTTAGGAGAAAGTTAAGTAAAAGCAATCATTTGGTCAAAATACCTACATAATATACAACAAAATAATACAAATATGACTGGTTGTGGGTTTGATCCCACTACAACACCTACTCCATCTGCTCCCACTCATTTCTGCTGTTGTTGTATCCCTGGGCAAGACACTTAACCCCACTTTGCCTGAAGCCCCCACTGAAAGGCCAAGGCTGGGTCACGACTGACGGAGCAGCCATCTTCCTCTGGACCCCCCTCTGATTGTCACAGGGTCCACAGCGGGAAGTACATCGTCCACTTTGCACAGTTTTTCTTTTCAAAACACAACTATTTTAGGTTTACAGCTGCAGCTTCATAAGAGATGGAGGAACTGTCTGTGAGGGGGGGTCCACTGTGGGTTAGAGGAGGAGGGGGGGGGGGGGGGGGGGGGCAGAGTCACCCCCCATCAGCACAAGGTCGGCTCAGTGATTGGGCCTAAAGTGCTGCGCCATTCATCACAGAGGAGAGATAATTGGGAGAAAGAGAGAGACCAGAGAGAGAGAGAGAGAGAGAGAGAGAGAGAGAGAGACCAGCGACAGAGAAGGAGAGAGAGAGAGAGACAGAGAAGGAGAGAGAGAGAGAGACCAGAGAAGGAGAGAGACAGAGACAGAGAAGGAGAGAGAGACAGAGAAGGAGAGAGAGACAGAGACAGAGAAGGAGAGAGAGACAGAGACAGAGAAGGAGAGAGAGACAGAGACAGAGAAGGAGAGAGAGAGAGACCAGAGAGAGAGAGAGAGACACACAAAGAGACAGAGAGAGAGAGACCAGCGACAGAGAAGGAGAGTGACAGACACAGAGAAGGAGAGAGAGAGAGACAGAGAGACAGAGAGAGAGAGAGAGACAGAGAGACAGAGAGAGAGAGACCAGCGACAGAGAAGGAAAGAGTGACAGAGACAGAGAAGGAGAGAGAGAGAGAGACCAGAGAAGGAGAGAGAGAGAGAGAGACAGAGAGACAGACCAGGGGTGGGATTAAATACGTTTAATCCCACCCCTGGATTAAACGTAATTTTTTGTGTTAATAAATCTGAGGGCACTATGGTTTCCCACATTACAGCAGAGCATTTACAGCTAACAAACACAGTTACTACTTATTGTGTATATTGTGTGTGCTCCCTGTGTCTCTTACTACTGTCCTGTCTGTGCGCTGCAACACTGAAATTTCCCCACTGTGGGACAAATAAAGGACCTCTATCTTATCCCTGAACATGCTCCAGCAAAGGTCCAGACCAAGTTCAAAATCTAGAGTTGCTCTGGACAGAGTTGACAAATACCATTATAAAGTCGAGTCCAAAACGGGAGATAAACAAAGAATCCCTGAGCCTCAAACCTTCACATTTATTGTGGTCGCGTCCCATTGTTGTGTTACTGTATTTGAACTGCACTCACAGCCCTCACTCTCTGCTCCCGCCCTGTGCCAGTCCACACGCCGCCTCTGAATCTTCATTAGGGAGGGAAATGAAGCTGAAAACGAGGAGGCAGCCGAGATGGCCAAAAGCAGCTGCACTCACACACACACACTCTGACAAACACACACACACGCACTCTGACACACACACACACGCACCGACTCTCACACACACACACACACACACACACACACAGTCATACAGTTGGTACAGTGAGCTAAAGTGTGCCACGGTCCCGCTACGAGGCCGAGGGAGACAGGTGTGCAAAGGCAGAGGGAGGGAGACAGGTGTGCAAAGGCAGAGGGAGTGAGACAGGTGTGCAAAGGCAGAGGGAGTGAGACAGGTGTGCAAAGGCAGAGGGAGACAGGTGTGCAAAGGCAGAGGGAGACAGGTGTGCAAAGGCAGAGGGAGACAGGTGTGCAAAGGCAGAGGGAGGGAGACAGGTGTGCAAAGGCAGAGGGAGTGAGACAGGTGTGCAAAGGCAGAGGGAGTGAGACAGGTGTGCAAAGGCAGAGGGAGACAGGTGTGCAAAGGCAGAGGGAGACAGGTGTGCAAAGGCAGAGGGAGACAGGTGTGCAAAGGCAGAGGGAGACAGGTGTGCAAAGGCAGAGGGAGGGAGACAGGTGTGCAAAGGCAGAGGGAGACAGGTGTGCAAAGGCAGAGGGAGACAGGTGTGCAAAGGCAGAGGGAGACAGGTGTGCAAAGGCAGAGGGAGACAGGTGTGCAAAGGCAGAGGGAGACAGGTGTGCAAAGGCAGAGGGAGACAGGTGTGCAAAGGCAGAGGGAGACAGGTGTGCAAAGGCAGAGGGAGACAGGTGTGCAAAGGCAGAGGGAGACAGGTGTGCAAAGGCAGAGGGAGACAGGTGTGCAAAGGCAGAGGGAGACAGGTGTGCAAAGGCAGAGGGAGACAGGTGTGCAAAGGCAGAGGGAGACAGGTGTGCAAAGGCAGAGGGAGACAGGTGTGCAAAGGCAGAGGGAGACAGGTGTGCAAAGGCAGAGGGAGACAGGTGTGCAAAGGCAGAGGGAGACAGGTGTGCAAAGGCAGAGGGAGACAGGTGTGCAAAGGCAGAGGGAGACAGGTGTGCAAAGGCAGAGGGAGACAGGTGTGCAAAGGCAGAGGGAGACAGGTGTGCAAAGGCCGAGGGAGACAGGTGTGCAAAGGCCGAGGGAGACAGGTGTGCAAAGGCAGAGGGAGACAGGTGTGCAAAGGCAGAGGGAGACAGGTGTGCAAAGGCAGAGGGAGACAGGTGTGCAAAGGCAAAGGGAGTGAGGCAGAGACAGTAACTCCTGCATGTGCTCAGACAGCAGAGGAGAGGCCAGGATGTGTCGCTGTGTGTGGGAAGGATCCAGTCAGAAGGGAACGGAGAAAAGTCTGGACCAAAGACTGGGATGGAGGTAAAGTAAGAAGCTGAAGTGAGTGAGGAGGGAGGAGGAAGGGAGGGAGAGAGGAGAGAGGAGATAGGAGGGAGAGAGGAGATAGGAGGGAGGGAAGGAGAGAGGGAGGGAGGAGAGATTGGAGGAGAGATGGAGCAAGGGGCAAAAGGAGGAGGGAAGGAGGGGAGGAGGGAAGGAGGGGGGGAGGGAGGGGGGGGAGAGGAGAGAGGAGGGAGGGGGAGAGAGGAGATAGGAGGGAGGGAAGGAGAGAGGGAGGGAGGAGGGAGAGAGGAGAGAGGAAGGAAGGAAGGGGGAGGGAGGGAGAAGGGAGGAGGGAGGGAGAGAGGAGATAGGAGGGAGGAAAGGAGAGAGGAGGGAGGAGGGAGAGAGGAGAGAGGAGGGAAGGAGGAGAGAGGAGGGAAGGAGGGGGGAGGGAGGGAGAAGGGGGGAGGGAGAAGGGGGGAGGGAGGGAGAAGGGAGGAGGGAGAGAGTAGAGAGGAGGGAGGGAGCAAGGGGCAAAAGGAGAAGGGAAGGAGGGTGGAGGGAGGGAGAAGGGAGGAGGGAGAGAGGAGGGAGGGAGAGAGGAGATAGGAGGGAGGGAAGGAGAGAGGAGAGCGGAGGGAGAAGGGGGGGGGGGGGGAGAGGAGAGAGGAGGGAGGGAGAGAGGAGGGAGAGAGGAGAGAGGAAGGAAGGAGGGTGGAGGGAGGGAGCTCAGGGCCATACTGCAGAGCCAGGAGGAAGAGAGGAAAGTCTGAAACTGAGAACCTTAGCACTTTACAGCCGCCCCACTGTGGCACCTGCTGTTCCCAGAGGTTAAGTGTCTTGCCCAAGGACACAACGACAGCAGACGTCAGTGGGAGTTGGTGGAGAAAGTCTTGTGGTGGACTCGAACCCATGACCTTCAGGCTCAAAGTCCAATGCGCTACAACTGAGCCCCTGTCGCCCCCATCTTGTTTAATGTCTTTATCTTTTCTGAAGCATTATATTATTGATAATACATTGCACTTATATATTGTTTTTTTGGACACTCAAAGAGGCTTTACAGAAGAAAAATAAGAAATAAAAAAATAAACAGTTGAAGTAGCGTTATGTAAGGTTTTTTTTGTCAAGTTATAATTTTGACATGCCTTCTCTGTCAAAAGACATTAAAATAACATGCTCTTTTCCAATACTTCTTTAACTGATAACAGTATTCAGAGATATTTGAATTTCTAAATTAGTTTTACAGCTAACCCTAACCCGCCAGAACTCACAGCGTGGAGCTAATCTCACTGGTAAAGTACCATGTGGCGCAGAACTAAAAAAGGTCTCGACAAAACAAGGAATAAAACCAGGACTTCAATCTTTGTGAAAAAGGTGTTGGTTATAGATTTGTTGTTGACAAAACTCTTGTCTATTCAGCTGTTATGGTCCCAGCTGGATTCGTCTGCATATCTGGCAACCTGAGTCAGGGAGAGTGGGAGAGGCTGCAGTACCACTTTTGGCCACATGTTTACACACTGCTCCTTAGGCAGTTTTGAACAGGTGTGCTTTGTTCCTAATGTGTGGTGGGAGTGAGTTCCAGACAGGGGGGGCAGTTACAGCAAAGCCCCTCCCTCCCGTATGGAAAAATGGTCCCAATATTGACAGGAGACATTCTTCACCCCCAAACACACATTTATCTCGGAGCCTATTCTTCATGTAATATCAGGGCGATAAATCACCATGGTAATACTTCCTCCTTTGATTTAGGGGAATCTGATTATCCCTTATTGCAGAGTCATTTGAGCTGCTCTAAATTATTAATCACCCCCGGTCTATTGTTATTCTGTTATTCTGTCCTCCCACCACCGCCCTCCGTGTTCATTGAAATCATTCCGACCTGAGTGACAGTGGGGCTCGCGTGTGTGATGGCATTTGCAGTATTCAACTCATCAATTTATCATTTTGCCACATAAAAAAGTAATGTGAGAAGTGGATAAATCAGGACGTCCTCCCCTTTAAAAGGCCGGGATCAGAGCCGGGTAATAGTCTTTTAAATGGACATGGACTTGAAGAAAATGATCAAAATGGAGATTAGTCACTGTGATATTTCACTACACGACCCTTAAGTGTGAAACATTAGATCAGCCTGTGATCACTTCTTTTCTTTTAACACGGAGGTCACAAGAGGAATAGTCACGGACGAACAAAAGGTGTTGGCAAAGATTGTAACCTTTAAATCACAGACGCTTTAAGCCATAAACGCTACTGCACATAAACGTGTGATTTATCAGAGACAGAGTGAAAGGAAGTGATGAAGTCTGTATCTGCTACACTTCAATACGTGTTAGAACCATCTTTAAACACACATGAAGTTCTATTACTCCTTTTAGTTATTCTATTTATTTCAGTACATATTCATCAATGTGTCTTCAGCGTCAACATAAATAAGCTGGAATTAGCACAACAGCTAAATAGCATCCACTGTCCTGAGGTAGAAACACACAAACAATTAGGTGTTGACAAGAGAGGGAAGTAATAATACTTTATTATATGACTTGGACCGTACGCGCGCTCTGATTGGCTGATTACCGGTCTGATATTTTCCCATCTCGGACCGTTACCATGACAATCAGTCCGCAGCGCGTATCACACAAAACCAAGTCGGACATGAACATACTTCACAAATATCTCAAAAGCATTGGTAAAGACGAGAGTCATATAATAAAACATTTATTAACCTCGCCACGGCTCGGTCTGTACATTAAGGCTCTAAGGCTCGGTCTGTACATTAAGGCTCTAAGGCTCGGCCTGTACATTAAGGCTCTAAGGCTCGGTCTGTACATTAAGGCTCTAAGGCTCGGCCTGTACATTAAGGCTCTAAGGCTCGGCCTGTACATTAAGGCTCTAAGGCTCGGTCTGTACATTAAGGCTCTAAGGCTCGGCCTGTACATTAAGGCTCTAAGGCTCGGTCTGTACATTAAGGCTCTAAGGCTCGGCCTGTACATTAAGGCTCTAAGGCTCGGCCTGTACATTAAGGCTCTAAGGCTCGGTCTGTACATTAAGGCTCTAAGGCTCGGTCTGTACATTAAGGCTCTAAGGCTCAGAATCAGAATCAGAATCAGAATCATTTTTATTGCCAACGTAAGTAACGGGAGGTCACAGACTTGGAAATTGCTTTGGCTCAGTGCAACAGTCAAAAAGAGATAATAAAAATAAGAATAAAAAACACTTCTAAAGAATAAATTTAAATTTAAAATAGAGTTACAGTTACTATTTACAATATACAAGTGCACATGGTGCACACAATGTAAGGTGACAGCAGTACAGTGAAGTAAAGTGACGTATGATGGGCAGTAAAGTGACTTTATAAAGGGCGGGGGGACAGGTTAAGAAGTGTTCAAGAGTCCAACAGCAGAGGGGAAGAAACTGTTCTTGTGGCGGGAGGTTCTAGTCCTGATGGACCGCAGCCTCCTGCCTGAGGGGAGTGGTTGGAATAGTCCATGTGCAGGGTGAGAGGGGTCGGCTGTGATACGACCAGCCCGGCCTCGAGCTCGGGCGACGTACAGGTCCTGCAGCGATGGAAGGCTGCGGCCGATCACTTCCTCTGCAGAGCGCACAATGCGCTGTAGTCTCTGTTTGTCCCTGACTGTGGCTCCAGCGAACCACACGGTGATGGAGGAGGTGAGGATGGACTCGATGATGGCCGTGTAGAACTGCACCAACATCTGTGCAGGCAGCTTGGCTTTCCTGAGCTGCCGCAGGAAGTACATCCTCTGCTGGGCCTTCTTGATGAGGGAGCTGATGGTCGGCTCCCACTTGAGGTCCTGGGTGATGGTGGTGCCCAGGAAACGGAAGGACTCCACAGAGGTGATGGGGGAGTCCATCACGGAGGGTGGGGGCGGGGGGACAGTGCTCTTCCTGAAGTCCACAATCATCTCCACTGTCTTCTGGGCGTTCAGCTCCAGGTTGTTACCACTGCACCAGGACACCAGCCGGTCCACCTCCCTCCTGTAGGCGGACTCATCGTTGTTGGAGATGAGTCCAATGAGGGTGGTGTCGTCCGCGAACTTGATCAGCTTCACGGAGTCGTGGCTGGAGGTGCAGTGGTTGGTGTACAGGGAGAAGAGCAGGGGAGAAAGAACACAGCCCTGTGGGGCTCCTGTATTTATAATCCGAGAGTCCGAGACATTCTTCCCCAGACGCACTCGCTGCTTCCTGTCCGTCAGGAAGTCAGTGATCCACCTGCAGGTGGAATCGGGCACGTTGAGCTGGGAGAGCTTGTCCTGGAGCAGGGATGGCAGGATTGTGTTGAAGGCAGAGCTGAAGTCCACGAACAGGACCCTGGCGTAGGTCCCCGGGGAGTCCAGGTGCTGTAGGATGTGGTGGAGGGCCAGGTTAATGGCGTCGTCTACAGATCTGTTGGCTCTGTAGGCGAACTGCAGGGGGTCCAGGAGGGGGGAGGTGAGGGACTTGAGATGGGAAAGAACCAGGCGTTCAAATGACTTCATGACGACAGACGTAAGTGCTACAGGTCTGTAGTCATTGAGTCCTGTGATCCTGGGCTTCTTCGGGACGGGGACAATGATGGAGGATTTGAAGCAGGCCGGGACATGGCAGGACTGCAGAGAGGTGTTGAAAATGTCCGTGAACACAGGAGTAAGCTCACTGGCGCAGTGTCTCAGAGTGGCCGGAGACACGTGGTCCGGGCCAGGAGCTTTGCGGGGGTGCAGCCTCAGGAAGAGTTGTTTAATCTCTTTAGCGGCTATTGTTAGGCTGGGGGCAGGGCTGATGGGTGGGTCGTTAGAGTAGTGGGGGGTGGGGGAGGGAGAGGTGTCAGGGGCAGCATCAAAGCGACTGAAAAATAAGTTCAGATCGTCAGCTAGCTTGTGGTCATCAGCACAGGGGGGGGCTTTGGGTTTGTAGTTGGTGATCTCCCGTAGGCCCCTCCAGACAGAAGCAGTATCGTTGTTACCAAACTGCTCCTGTAGTCGTTCTCTGTGCCGGGACTTGGCTGCTTTCAGTTCTTTCCTGAACTGATATTTAGCTGCTTTGTAGCCGCTGCGGTCCCCCTCCCTGAAAGCAGACTCCTTTGCTTTCCTGAGCTGCCGGAGTTTAGCAGTGAACCAGGGTTTGTCGTTGTTATAGATGACCCTGGTCCTTGTTGGAATGATGCTATCCTCACAGAAGTGGATGTATGACGTCACAGTGTCCGTATATTCATCCAAGCTGTCTGTGGCAGCTCTGAAAAGGTCCCAGTCTGTAGATTCCATGCATGCGCGTAGCTCTTCCACAGCTTCATCAGACCACACTTTGGAGCTCCTCACTGCAGGTTTCGAGAGCTTTAGTCTCTGTCTGTAAGCAGGAACCAGATGTATCATGGAGTGATCTGAGAAGCCGAGGGCTGGCTTGGGAACAGCGCGAAAAGCTCCGCGCACGGTGGTGTAACAGTGATCCAGAGTGTTCTCCTCTCTGGTCGGGCATTTGATAAACTGTCTGTATTTGGGTAATTCCTGGCTCAAGTTTCCCTTATTAAAATCCCCCAGGATAATAATCAGAGAGTCCGGGTATAAGCGTTCCATACACAGTACTTGCTCTGCGAGTGCGCGCTGAGCCTCGCGCGCGTCCGCGCATGGCGGTATGTAAACAGAGGCAAGAATGAATGAAACAATTTCCCGCGGGGAGTAATATGGTTTACAATGAATGAAAAGATATTCCAGAGCAGGAGAGCAGTGCTTGGAGATCACTGTCACATCGTTACACCAGTTTGTATTGACGTAGAAACAGAGCCCTCCGCCTCTGCTCTTCCCTGAGAGCGCACAATGGCGATCCGCGCGAAACAGCCCAAAGCCCTGCAGCTCCAGAGCGCAGTCCGGGATCCGCTCATTTAGCCAGGTCTCAGTGAAGCAGAGGACACAGGATGTGGCGAAGTCCTTGTTTCTTCTCATGAGCAGGCTGAGTTCGTCCATCTTATTGCCCAGTGAGCGTACGTTGGAGAGAAAAATGCCGGGGAGAGCCGTGCGCGCTCCTCTCCTCCTAAGACGCACGAGCAGGCCTCCTCGCTTTCCCCTTTTACGGGCCCACACTTTTTTGGCTAGAACATGAACTAAATCAGCCGCAGATGCCAAGAAAACAGGCAATAGGTCCATGGGAACGGTGGGTCGGATGTTCATAAGTTCCTCACGGGTGTAGGAACAGCCAGATGCACAGTTAAAAAGTAAAAACAAAAGAAAAAGAGAGCAGCAAAGAGCCATGTCGACCGTACGAGGCGCCATCTTGAATCCTGTACATTAAGGCTCTAAGGCTCGGTCTGTACATTAAGGCTCTAAGGCTCGGCCTGTACATTAAGGCTCTAAGGCTCGGTCTGTACATTAAGGCTCTAAGGCTCGGCCTGTACATTAAGGCTCTAAGGCTCGGTCTGTACATTAAGGCTCGGTCTGTGCATTAAGGCTCTAAGGCTCGGTCTGTACATTAAGGCTCTAAGGCTCGGCCTGTACATTAAGGCTCTAAGGCTCGGCCTGTACATTAAGGCTCTAAGGCTCGGCCTGTACATTAAGGCTCTAAGGCTCGGCCTGTACATTAAGGCTCTAAGGCTCGGCCTGTACATTAAGGCTCGGCCTGTACATTAAGGCTCTAAGGCTCGGCCTGTACATTAAGGCTCTAAGGCTCGGCCTGTACATTAAGGCTCTAAGGCTCGGCCTGTACATTAAGGCTCTAAGGCTCGGCCTGTACATTAAGGCTCTAAGGCTCGGTCTGTACATTAAGGCTCTAAGGCTCGGCCTGTACATTAAGGCTCTAAGGCTCGGCCTGTACATTAAGGCTCTAAGGCTCGGCCTGTACATTAAGGCTCTAAGGCTCGGCCTGTACATTAAGGCTCTAAGGCTCGGCCTGTACATTAAGGCTCTAAGGCTCGGCCTGTACATTAAGGCTCTAAGGCTCGGCCTGTGCATTAAGGCTCGGTCTGTACATTAAGGCCGCGGTCTGATATTTCTCCATACAGACCTCGCGCTCGGTGAATAAGCCGTTAGTAGTGTGGTTTCACTGTTACTGTATGACTGTATGATAGCAAAGTGGTGTGTGTGTGTGTGCGTGTGTGTGTACGTGCGTGCGTGTCTGTGTGTGTGCGTGTGAGTCTGTATCAGAGAGAGTGCGATGGTTTTTCTATTGGATTGTCAGTACTGTATCCATGTATTTTATGTATGAAACCAGGGACTGCAGATGGAAACAGTCGTTTAATCTGGTGCAGAACATATCTGTCTTTGAGCTTAAAGTCTCTGTACATTGTCCATTAAATAAAGACTAAATAAATTGATAAATAAAATGTTGTCATAAACAGCTGAGGCAGTGCAAACCCACGCTACACCGGGACCCGCCCAGACTGACCCAGACCTTTGAGCCTCTTCCATTGGGATAGAGCAGCAGAGTTCCCTGTGATATTAAAACTTGGACAGAACTATTTTATGGTTTGTTCAATCTGGGAGCATCTGCCTAATGTCACGTCATCGTCATGTCTGAATTAAACTCTGACAGGATTTCAAGCTAATTCAAAGCTAAAAGCTAACATCATATACAGTGGTAACCATATAGACTGAACTGTGCTGATGCTGAAGGCACAGATGTGTGTGAAACAATAATAAAGCAGTCAACAGTTCCATGTAATTGCACCAGTGCGACGCTCTTCCTCCTTTAGCTGCTTCCACCAGGGAGCATCCACCCACCTCTGTTCCTGACAGCTCACTAACGCCAGACCAAGATCAAGAATGACTTAAATAGTTTGACATGACCTTAGAGAGTCTGGAGGATGATGCCTCTGGAGGTAATTGCTCAAATTCAGAAGCCGCTGGGACAAACAAACTTAAATGATGATAATTATGTCTGACTTTAGTGGTATTAACGCACACACTTTGTGAGTCTGATGCGTGTGATGCCAATTCCCCAAATCTGCTCCCGTCTCATTTCCACTCACACACACACATAATTAGTGAGTTTAAAAGGGGTGAGGCTTCTTAATTGTGTTGAAGATCGTAAGTTCAATGCGGATTTTCCTTTTTCAGTTAAAAAAAGAAAAGTGTATAACAAAGCTTGATGAACAAACGAACGCCCACTTGTTCTCTCCAAAGACCCGGAGCCTCCAGGCGAAAGAGACTTAAAAAGGTTTGTGCACACCATCGCGGTTAACACAAGCAGCTCCCGTGCCACTTCAATTAAACCCTGGCATTTTGGATTAGCACCGAGAGACGAAGCGGCGTTAGTAATAAGCAAAATGTGTCTCCGCAGCAGAGGAGGATTCTCTTTGAAGCTCCTGAATGTTGGTCATCAAGCTCTTGACCCGCAGCATCGGCCTCGAGCAACAGGACCTCAGGAAGTTTACATCACTGGGCGGCCATTTTGTTTTGTTTGCTCTCCCCAAAGCATGTTATGGTTTATACGTTTTCATTTCACAAAAAGAGAATAGTGAGTAGAGTGGGGCATCTAGTGCCTGCCAATAATTTATTTATACAAAATAAAAACTATGTGACGTAAAAAGAATAAATGTTAGAGATTCTTTATAGTAATAAATACGAAATATATATAATAAATACTATAGAGTAATAAACAACAAAATCCCAAAGTGCTTCTTCCAACGAACAGAAAACTGTTATAATCTCAGGTGGAGTTATTTTAGAATCTACTAAAGCAAGAACTAAAGTGAAATCACTGTGCCCGTCCCCACTGTGCCCACCCCCACTGTGCCCACCCCCACTGTGCCCACCCCCACTGTGCCCACCCCCACTGTGCCCACCCCCACTGTGCCCGTCCCCACTGTGCCCGACCACACTGTGCCCACCCCCACTGTGCCCACCCCCACTGTGCCCGTCCCCACTGTGCCCACCCCCACTGTGCCCACCCCCACTGTGCCCGTCCCCACTGTGCCCACCCCCACTGTGCCCACCCCCACTGTGCCCGACCCCACTGTGCCCGACCCCACTGTGCCCACCCCCACTGTGCCCGACCCCACTGTGCCCACCCCCACTGTGCCCACCCCCACTGTGCCCGACCACACTGTGCCCGACCCCACTGTGCCCACCCCCACTGTGCCCGTCCCCACTGTGCCCACCCCCACTGTGCCCGTCCCCACTGTGCCCACCCCCACTGTGCCCACCCCCACTGTGCCCGTCCCCACTGTGCCCACCCCCACTGTGCCCACCCCCACTGTGCCCACCCCCACTGTGCCCGCCCCCACTGTGCCCGTCCCCACTGTGCCCACCCCCACTGTGCCCGCCCCCACTGTGCCCGACCACACTGTGCCCGCCCCCACTGTGCCCGACCCCACTGTGCCCGCCCCCACTGTGCCCCGACCACACTGTGCCCGCCCCCACTGTGCCCACCCCCACTGTGCCCGACCACACTGTGCCCGCCCCCACTGTGCCCGACCACACTGTGCCCGCCCCCACTGTGCCCGACCACACTGTGCCCGCCCCCACTGTGCCCGACCACACTGTGCCCGTCCCCACTGTGCCCGTCCACACTGTGCCCGCCTCCACTGTGCCCGTCCCCACTGTGCCCGACCACACTGTGCCCGCCCCCACTGTGCCCCGACCACACTGTGCCCGCCTCCACTGTGCCCGTCCCCACTGTGCCCGTCCCCACTGTGCCCGACCACACTGTGCCCGTCCCCACTGTGCCCGTCCCCACTGTGCCCGTCCCCACTGTGCCCGTCCCCACTGTGCCCGACCACACTGTGCCCGTCCCCACTGTGCCCGCCCCCACTGTGCCCGTCCCCACTGTGCCCGTCCCCACTGTGCCCGACCACACTGTGCCCGTCCCCACTGTGCCCGTCCCCACTGTGCCCGTCCCCACTGTGCCCACCCCCACTGTGCCCGACCACACTGTGCCCGTCCCCACTGTGCCCGTCCACACTGTGCCCGTCCCCACTGTGCCCGTCCACACTGTGCCCGCCCCCCACGGTGCCCGACCCCACTGTGCCCGTCCCCACTGTGCCCGCCTCCACTGTGCCCAACCCCACTGTGCCCGACCCCACTGTGCCCGCCCCCACTGTGCCCGTCCCCACTGTGCCCGACCACACTGTGCCCGTCCCCACTGTGCCCGTCCCCACTATGCCCGCCCCCACTGTGCCCGACCACACTGTGCCCGTCCCCACTGTGCCCGACCACACTGTGCCCGCCTCCACTGTGCCCGACCCCACTGTGCCCAACCCCACTGTGCCCGCCCCCACTGTGCCCGACCACACTGTGCCCGTCCCCACTGTGCCCGACCCCACTGTGCCCGACCCCACTGTGCCCGTCCCCACTGTGCCCGTCCCCACTGTGCCCGCCTCCACTGTGCCCGACCCCACTGTGCCCAACCCCACTGTGCCCGCCCCCACTGTGCCCGACCACACTGTGCCCGTCCCCACTGTGCCCGTCCCCACTGTGCCCGTCCCCACTGTGCCCGACCCCACTGTGCCCGTCCCCACTGTGCCCGTCCCCACTGTGCCCGTCCCCACTGTGCCCGTCCCCACTGTGCCCGTCCCCACTGTGCCCGACCCCACTGTGCCCGACCACACTTCCTTAAATCCTACGGCTGTTGCGGAGTTTTACGATTGTTAGCTTTTTAGAATGATCAATCTTAGTTTTGCTGCTACTGGACACCTGGATTTATCCTACGAGGGATTAAAGTATCTATATATCCATCTAATCAAATTCACAATTTTTGGAAAATGTAGAGTTTTCTGGTTTCTCTGAAAACAAATCAAGCAATAATTGTATAAAAAGCGATTACCTTTATAGTTCTTGAATTGTTTTGTCCTACACTTCACTTTCATTCTCTGTGAACTGAATCCCTGTTTTGCCTGCAGTGACTTTTCTCAAACGGTGAGAAGCATTTAAAAGCAGAGCCTCGCCGCCAGTGGCTTGTAAAGGAACTCCATTTACCAGTCCCAGTGTTGATACCAGAGCGTTTTACTTGTGTATGAGCGGCTCCTTGGGGTAATCTCTGCCGATGATTGACTGGTGGCTACAGTAGAGCGTTTGGAGGCATGACTGTCAACAATAACAGCATGGCCCACTTTACTGTCCTCTGAGAACCAGCAGAAGCATATTAAAGATTACGTTTTGCTCACTTATTTTGAGATACATTAAGTTTTCAATGATTATAAACAGAACAGTTGCTGATTGGCCTGTTGCCAGTAAAACATTTGTTATATAAAACTCATGATAATGTAATGATTCAGTTTTACACTCTGTGCCAAAACGAAGAGGTGGGTTGTTTTGGAAGATAAGTTTAAGTGGTATCCGAAAGTTTTAAAAATGCGTCAGAAAGGGAAGAATAAAGGGAGAAATATCGCCGACTTCTCACACCAGTCGGAATGTCAATAAGTTACAAGCTGAGAGTTTTAACAATGACTAACTTTACCGCCCATCTGTCCCTGATTCCATCTCTGTGCCACGAATACACAACTAACACATCACAAAAACCATGTAACAGGATGTAGTTTAGTCTGATCTTTATAAGAACACGGGCTTGTATGTTCTCTGAAAGTGCCACAGTCAGCAAAAACATGCTACCATCAACCACACGCCTTATTGACACCAGAGCAGCACGTCATTAGCACCATGTGGGACAAGATACAAGCAGAGGCCATTCAGTCAGGGTTAACCCTCTAAGCACATGGGTCATTTTGGGGAACTTTCCTCGCCTGGTTTTCTTTGTGTATAATTGTTCATAAAACAGTCATCTTTTGATGCAGAGTCAAGCAGTATACTTTATTTTTTTCAGTACAACCTGGGGTTTTAGAATATTCTTATTGTAAAGCTGTCATATGAATTATATAAAAATTATGGAATCATGAAGACAAAGAAAAAAATCAAACGGAAAATCAAACAAAAATGTATTGAAAAAACACAATGAAATGCTATAAACAACTTTTTACACTGCATAGAAATGTTATTTAGAGACTTGGGGATAATGGGGAAAAAAATTGAATCTCTAACTAATAGTTTTTACAAAATTCCACTATAAAAGCAAAAAACTCTGTACTCCTGATGCCCTTCCTGAAGCAGTTTGTCTATAATGCTGGGGTTGCTTCTGTAGCACAGCTGTAAAAAACGTAAAACATAAGAAACTGAGCCAAAAAAAAAAAAAAAAATTATTTATATAATACATATATTTATATACATCATATACACATAATGTCATTTTACTGTATTTATTATCGTCTTTATCAATAATGCGCACTCTTCAGCCGGTTATTGTAATCGCAGCTGTAGTTTCAACTGTGGGAGAACAAGTAAACGCAGAGGAGTGAGACATCTCACTCTCTGACGATCTTTGGCAGTCCCCGTGTGTTTGTATCTCACAGCTGTTTGTACCTCACGGGTCACGCTTTGGACACGGACTTTCAGACAAGCCTAGTTTATCCTCCGTGCATCGCACAGACAAATCAAAACTAGTTTCAGAAAGCCCTGAATACGTACTTCACAGAGGAAAAAAAGTAAGTTGCTACGTTTTACCGTTCTCGAGTAAATTGATCATTTGTAAAACATGTGCGCGTGCATCAGCGCCGATGCAGACGGGTTCATAGGGTTAATGTAGTGGCTAACAGCTAGGCTAGCTACTGCCAAACTGGACAGACTTACCATGGAGGACAGGTTTACTATGGTTTACCATGGGGGGCAGGTTTACCATGGTTTACCATGGAGGACAGGTTTACCATGGTTTACCATGGAGGACAGGTTTACTATGGTTTACCATGGAGGACAGGTTTACTATGGTTTACCATGGAGGACAGGTTTACTATGGTTTACCATGGGGGACAGGTTTACTATGGTTTACCATGGGGGGCAGGTTTACCATGGTTTACTATGGTTTACCATGGGGGACAGGTTTACTATGGTTTACCATGGGGGACAGGTTTACTATGGCTTACCATGGGGGACAGGTTTACTATGGTTTACCATGGGGGACAGGTTTACTATGGTTTACCATGGGGGACAGGTTTACAATGGTTTACCATGGGGGGCAGATTTACAATGGGGGGCAGGTTTACCATGGAGGGCAAGTTTACTATGGGGAGCAAGTTTACTATGGGGGGCAGGTTTACCATGGGGGGCAGGTTTACCATGGAGGGCAGGTTTACCATGGGGGGCAGGTTTACCATGGGGGGCAAGTTTACAATGGGGGGCAAGTTTACTATGGGGGGCAAGTTTACTATGGGGGGCAGGTTTACCATGGGGGGCAAGTTTACTATGGGGGGCAGGTTTACCATGGGGGGCAGGTAGATTTAAGCACTGCTATCGCCACTTTCTATTGTACATAATTATATCCTGCACAGACTATGTTTTTTACTTTAACATGTTTCACACTTCTGTCTTTTGCACAAATCTGAGAGATTTTATCTGTGTTAATGATAATAATAATAATAATAATAATAATAATAATGCATTGGTTTTATACAGCGCTTTTCTGGACACTCAAAGTCTCTTCACATGTCATTATTCTCTCTCTCCAAACACGGTGGTGATCTACTACTGTAGCCACAGCTGCCCTGGGGCACACTGACAGAAACGAGGCAACCAGTCTGTGCCATCGGCCCCTCCCACCACCACCAACCATTCACACACACACCAGACTCATTCTAATGTGGGTGAAGTGTCTTGCCTAAGGACACAACCACAGTTTGGCACTTTACAGCCGCAGCCGCCCCACTGTGCGACATTTGCGACTGTGGGGCGGCATTTCTCCAACAGAGATCTATAAACTCTGTATTATCTTATCAAGTATTGTGTAGGTTCAAAATAAATAAATACTTGTGTTGTCGACGAGGATTTACATTTATCAATTTGAATGAATGGGTTTGATTTTCCCGCCTCCTTCAGATTCATAATGAAGTAAGTAACATAACATTGTTCATGCTTCGTACACATTCAGAGCTAGAAAACAAAACAAATCCCACAAAGTGACGCCTGCAGAAGAAACCAGGGTAATTTAGTGTGTGTGGTTAAAGTGCTACGTACATGATGTAAACAGTCAAAAGCAGCCATTACACAGAGCAAGGTGAAGCGTCTTTGAGCTTTGAACACATGCCCTTCAGTCCAACTGCTGACTCTGCATTTCCCAGACCTCGGAAACCATCGGCGGAATGACAGCTTTATGCAAAAAGGTCACGATAATGACAAGGAAAGGTTAGAGCCATGATACCACAGCAGCAGGATCATTATGGAGGCGCTCAAGACCAGACCCAGGACCAGACCCAGGAGCAGACCCAGGACCAGACCCAAGACCAGACCCCAAGACCAGACCTAAGCCCTGACCCAAGACCAGACCCAAGAATGACAAGGATAGGTTAGAGCCATGATACCACAGCAGAGCAGCAGCAGGACCATTATGGAGGCTGTCCTCTGACCTGGCCATGGGACTGCATGCAGGCTGGAGACGGCTGGACCAGACCAGAGCCCAGACCCAGGACCAGAGCCAGACCTAAGACCAGACCAAAGACCAGACCAAAGACCAGACCCAGGACCAGGCCCAGACCAGAGTCCCCTTTTTTCCTGAATACTGATACGAGTCCATTGTGTTATCTCTGGGAATTCATAAAAATAATACAACTGAAGTTTAAAATGTTTTAATTCTCTTTTCAACAATAAGAAAATTGAACAATTAATAATGTTAGCGATAGTTCTACCATCAACAATAAGAGCCACTGTCATGTTCACTCATAAATGGGACAAAGACACACATGTTCCTCTGCGGTGGGTTTGATCAGCAGCAGGTGTTTGGTTTGAACCTCGAGACAGGTTTACGTACGGTCCACTTTACTCCTGTCACTCGTTTACTTTAAAACACTGACATACGGACGACAACCGCTTTCTGGCTGCAGACTTTAGGAGATCTCTATGGCAACACGTGCCTCACAGCTGTCTGCTGTCGTGACGATAATGTACATTATAAATGTGGAAATCAGTTTCTGGCACCGGGTCCAATAGTACGAGTACAAGCCTATGGTACAGGCCCATGGTACAAGCCTATGGTACAAGCCTATGGTCCAAGCCTATGGTCCAAGCCTATGGTACAGGCCCATGGTACAAGCCTATGGTACAAGCCTATGGTACAAGCCTATGGTCCAAGCCTATGGTCCAAGCCTATGGTCCAAGCCTATGGTCCAAGCCTATGGTCCAAGCCTATGGTCCAAGCCTATGGTCCAAGCCTATGGTACAAGCCTATGGTACAAGCCTATGGTACAAGCCTATGGTCCAAGCCTATGGTACAAGCCTATGGTACAAGCCTATGGTACAAGCCTATGGTACAAGCCTATGGTACAAGCCTATGGTACAAGCCTATGGTACAAGCCTATGGTACGAGCCTATGGTACAGGCCTATGGTACAGGCCTATGGTACAGGCCTATGGTACAAGCCTATGGTACAAGCCTATGGTACAGGCCTATGGTACAAGCCTATGGTACAAGCCTATGGTACAAGCCTATGGTACAGGCCTATGGTACCGACCTGATACCAGTGTTGCATTGGTGCATCCTTAACCCAGACGCAGACCCAAGCCTACTGTAGCAGACCCAAGCCCAGACCCGCCTCCCTTTGTTTCGGAGGCAGAGGATCCTTGGTGTTGGTATGAACAGTAAGCGGCAGATGAATCAGCTCTGCGGGAGAGGGTTAGTGCTAATGAGATGAGGCCCAGAGAGGTTCTGTGGAGCTGGGCAAATGCTGACCACAAAACAGCAGCAGAGGTCACTGGGGGAAAACCAGGATGTAGAAACTTATGTAGCACAATAATACCAGTAAAATACCACATATATATCTATAATAAAACCGTTTTGTAAAAAGTCCATACATCCCAGATGAATCGACAGAATAGGGGTTATATCATCCACTCTAGTCCACACTGACAACAGAGGGTCATTTTAATTGATGAGACAGAACTTCCAAAACCTGCTCAGACAACAAACAAGGAGCTCATAAAATCCTCAGAACATGGCACAAACAGAAGGTGGATTTACTCTGAGAATAATTATGGAGAAAACAACTGTCCCTGAGGCGTCCATCTTTTATCCCGAACCCAAGATGAAAACAGCAAGACATTAACAACAGTTAAAAACTCGTACTTCAAAAGACTGAGAGGACGCCTTAAAACATGTTCCAAAATGCAATCAAATATTTGAGAGGGCAATTTATGAACAACAACAGTTAGGGATACTCGGATACGAGTATCTCACTGAGAGAACAGGCCGATACCGAATACAGATACAACTGTGGGCGTTTGTCTCAGTCCACACAGAGACGGGGGCGAGGTCCCAATCTTATTATATTGTAGTGTGTGTCTGAAAGAATGGCATTGGATTAAAATCCCACTTCTGAGTGGAGTTTGCATGTTCTTCCCGTGTCTGCGTAGGTTTCCTCTGGGTGCTCCGGTTTTCCCCTACCAGGAGGCACAGACCTATTGTACATGTACTACTGGCCCCTCCATCTCTGTGTGGAGTCAGAGACTAATGCCCACAATTGTGAAGTGCTTTGACTCTGGTCTGTGAAAGGCGCTATATAAATAAACATTACTTACTTAAAATAAGCTTTTTGCTTCGACCGGTCTCTTTTCAAACCATAAACAGGTATTTCTTGTTTTTTGTGTTTGTATCTCGCGCATGTTTCAAAATAAATAAACAAATACAAATAAAATGTTTGACTTTACTTTTTGAGATTCTCCGATCAGAGAATATGAAGTTACACAATGATTATAATGAATGTTAATGAGGAATAATCTGCAGGAACAAAGGAACAGAGCTGAGGCAGGATGTGAAGTGGCTTTAGCAGGAGCTCTGCAGCATGAGTCACTGCTCACTCTGCAACACACACTACAGCACGGAGCAAAGACCACCAGCCGCACGCACGCACACACACACACACGCACACGCACGCACGCACACACACACGCGCACGCACACACACACACACACGCACGCACGCACGCACGCATACACACACACGCACACACACGCGCACACACACACACGCACGCACACACACACACACACACGCACACGCACGCACGCACACACACACGCGCACGCACACACACACACACGCACGCACGCACGCATACACACACACGCACACACACGCGCACACACACACGCGCGCACACACACGCACACACACACACATATATATAGATTGTAGATATATACAGTGCCTTGCAAAAGTATTCGGCCCCCTTGAACCTTTCAACATTTCGCCACATTTCAGGCTTCAAACATAAAGATATAAAAATATTTTTTTTTGTCAAGAATCAACAACAAGTGGGACACAATCGTGAAGTGGAACGAAATTCATTGGATAATTTAAACTTTTTTAACAAATAAAAACTGAAAAGTGGGGCGTGCAATATTATTCGGCCCCTTGCGCTAATACTTTGTAGTGCCACCTTTTGCTGCAATTACAGCTGCAAGTCGCTTGGGGTATGTCTCTATCAGTTTTGCACATCGAGAGACTGGAATTCTTGCCCATTCTTCCTTGCAAAACAGCTGGAGCTCAGTGAGGTTGGATGGAGAGCGTTTGTGAACAGCAGTCTTCAGCTCTTTCCACAGATTCTGGATTGGATTCAGGTCTGGACTTTGACTTGGCCATTCTAACACCTGGATACGTCTATTTGTGAACCATTCCATTGTAGATTTGGCTTTATGTTTTGGATCATTGTCCTGTTGGAAGATAAATCTCCGTCCCAGTCTCAGGTCTTTTGCAGACTCCAACAGGTTTTCTTCCAGAATGGTCCTGTATTTGGCTCCATCCATCTTCCCATCAATTTTAGCCATCTTCCCTGTCCCTGCTGAAGAAAAGCAGGCCCAAAGCATGATGCTGCCACCACCATGTTTGACAGTGGGGATGGTGTGTTCAGGGTGATGAGCTGTGTTGCTTTTATGCCAAACATATCGTTTTGCATTGTGGCCAAAAAGTTCGATTTTGGTTTCATCTGACCAGAGCACCTTCTTCCACATGTTTGGTGTGTCTCCCAGGTGGCTTGTGGCAAACTTTAAACCAGACTTTTTATGGATATCTTTGAGAAATGGCTTTCTTCTTGCCACTCTTCCATAAAGGCCAGATTTGTGCAGTGCACGACTGATTGTTGTCCTATGGACAGACTCTCCCACCTCAGCTGTAGTTATCTGCAGTTCATCCAGAGTGATCATGGGCCTCTTGTCTGCATCTCTGATCAGTCTTCTCCTTGTTTGAGATGAAAGTTTGGAGGGACGGCCGGGTCTTGGTAGATTTGCAGTGGTCTGATACTCCTTCCATTTCAATATAATTGCTTGCACATTGCTCCTTGAGATGTTTAAAGCTTGGGAAATCTTTTTGTATCCGAATCCGGCTTTAAACTACTCCACAACAGTATCTCGGACCTGCCTGGTGTGTTCCTTTGTCTTCATGGTTCTCTCTGCGCTTTAAACAGAACCCTGAGACTATCAAAGAGCAGGTGCATTTATACGGAGACTTGATTACACACAGGTGCATTCTATTTATCATCATCAGTCATTTAGGACAACATTGGATCATTCAAAGATCCTCACTGAACTTCTGGACTGAGTTTGCTGCACTGAAAGTAAAGGGGCCCAATAATATTGCACGCCCCACTTTTCAGTTTTTTATTTGTTAAAAATGTTTAAATTATCCAATAAATTTTGTTCCACTTCACGATTGTGTCCCACTTGTTGTTGATTCATGACAAAAAATATTCTTTTTATATCTTTATGTTTGAAGCCAGAAATGTGGCGAAATGTTGAAAGGTTCAAGGGGGCCGGATACTTTCGCAAGGCACTGTAGAAGATTACACAGTAAGAAGTGACGACAAACAAGAATCACTCAAATTCAGCTACATGTATCTTATTTTGAGCACATTTTCACTGCCTTCAAACAAGATTTGCCGATGGGAAAAGCAAAATTCCATCCATTTTCCTCCCCTAAATCCATGTCTGGGTGGGGGTGGCAGTCAGAGCTACAACCAGTCCACAGAGCACCAGCCCCTGACCCCCTGCAGAGCGTCCACAGCAGGCCGTCAGTGAGAGCACAGCCTTGATCTTTCAGCGGCGGGAGAAAAGCAAAATTATCTTGATTTAAATAGATACAGAAATGTCTCCCTTAGAATGAAAAAATAAGCTCTTGAAATGAGAGTGAATTCTAGTTTTAACACATTCAGAATGTGTCAGATTAAGATAAAAACACTGGAATCAAGCCTTAATTACCTCATACTTAATCTGTTTTTGCAGTGTAGATTCAGAAAGAAGACAAAGTATTTAGCTGATAGCATTCTTCCGTGTTTATGCTGCGCAGAGTGTATTTCTTGCTACACAATATTTCCACCTTCCTATCTGTGAACAAGTCTGGATCCTTCCGTTCTCCCCAAAGCCGAGCTCCATCACCTCAGACTGACGGGCTTTGATCAGGGATTTTGTTTGATCTCAAAAGTTTGGGGGAAATCTCATAATTTATTTGTGACTAATTCTGAATTGAGGAGATGGAGCCGACAGATGGCGGCTGATAACATTCATTAGTGGGAGTGACTTGGTAAGTGATTGTTATATCAGCAAAACTGTCACCAGCGGCGCTTCTCAGGACCAAGACCGATGTGTGAGGCTTATTAAGGAGCTGGGTTTGTTGGCACCGAGAGGAAAGATGTCCTTCAGACCAAAGCCCAAGGTTCAGGTCTATGTGTGCACCCAGCTGGAGTCTGGAGGAAACACCCAGCAGCTCCACAGCAGCTCCACAGCAGCTCCACAGCAGCTCCACACTATAATATATGTTTTTACCCACACATGACCAGTCACATGACCAGTCACATGACCAGTCCCAACGTTTTTAGCCCGCGACCCCCATCATGTATTTCCTTGATACGGAGTAAGGCAGAGACTCGCGCCACTACCGAGCTGCACTGTCCAGCCCAAAAAAGGAGGCTTGCATATTTTTACTCATGTAGTGACACAGTGATGGGCTTGGTGGGCTCCCTCCTCAGCAGAAGTGGAGCGCATTTCTTGCGGCTCGCCCTCACTGTTCTCCTACCGCGGTAAAGTGGGCCGGCTTTCCGGAGTCAGCGGTAAAGAGGTCCGCACATTAAAAGCGGGCGGCCGCTTTCTGCTGTTACTTTATGCGGTTCATCCCCGCGGCTTCTCTTTCCAAAGTTACTGTCAGTAAAGGCATAAACCGGCCACCCGCTTTTAATGTGCGGACCTCTTTACCTTTGACTCCGAAAAACCGGGCCTCTTTAACGCGCTGTTCTACCGCTGTCCTCCCTCCCTCCGCTGCCCTCTCTCCCTCCTTTGCCCTCTCTCCCTCCGCTGCCCTCTCTCCCTCCTCTGCCCCCCCTCCTTCTCTCCCTCCTCTGCCCCCCCTCCCTCTCTCCCTCCTTTGCCCTCTCTCCCTCCGCTGCCCCCCCTCCTTCTCTCCCTCCTCTGCCCTCTCTCCCTCCTCTGCCCTCTCTCCCTCCTCTGCCCTCTCTCCCTCCTCTGCCCTCTCTCCCTCTCTTCGCACCATCAGCCTGACCCCTGATACAAGTGACTTTTCTCCCCCTCCGGGTTTTTCTGTTGTGGATATTAACCACGTTTCATTTTAAAGCAGGTATTATTTATTTGTAGCCTCCAAACACCTTTAGTTTTAGCAAACAACAGCAGGACACGCTTTGTCGCTGCGCATGATGTGAGCTGTGTTACGTGATGATTTTGATTGACGCTGCAATGACTGGGACAAAATTACTAACGTTATTAAAATATATTATAGTCTCCAAACACAATTTAACAAGTAGTCCTTTTGAATCAAATCAAATGCTAAATAAATATTTAAGGGCTTTATATTTGCTCAAAAAAAAAAAATCTTTTTTTTTTGTTTGTGTAGAAATCATCTTGCGACCCCCCCAGGGGTTCCCGCGACCCCCCGGGGGGTCAGGACCCCCACTTTGGGAACCACTGAGTCACATGACCAGAGAACTAAAAAATGTCTTGTTATGATTCTCAATTCAGACCCAGCTCCTGGTTTACAGTAGACCCAGCTCCTGGTTTACAGTAGACCCAGCTCCTGGTTTACAGTAGACCCAGCTCCTGGTTTACAGTAGACCCAGCTCCTGGCAGACTCCAAGATCCAGTTCCACAAACACAGTCCTGTGATGAGCTGAGAACATGTGTGTGTTACGAGACCAGAAGGGCTTTGAAGTATGTGCAGCGGCTCTATGCATAAAACATGGGCCCAGCAGGAGGAGAGAAGCTGAGAGACGGGTGGACCTCTTCATCGCTCTGACCCTTCCATCTCCTCCTCTTCATCGCTCTGACCCTCCCATCTCCTCCTCTTCATCGCTCTGACCCTCCCATCTCCTCCTCTTCATCGCTCTGACCCTTCCATCTCCTCCTCTTCATCGCTCTGACCCTCCCATCTCCTCCTCATCGCTCTGACCCTCCCATCTCTTCCTCTTCATCGCTCTGACCCTCCCATCTCCTCCTCTTCATCGCTCTGACCCTCCCACCTCTTCCTCTTCATCGCTCTGACCCTCCCATCTCCTCCTCTTCATCGCTCTGACCCTCCCATCTCTTCCTCTTCATCGCTCTGACCCTCCCCTCTCCTCCTCTTCATCGCTCTGACCCTCCCATCTCTTCCTCTTCATCGCTCTGACCCTTCCATCTCTTCCTCTTCATCGCTCTGACCCTCCCATCTCCTCCTCTTCATCGCTCTGACCCTCCCATCTCTTCCTCTTCATCGCTCTGACCCTTCCGTCTCTTCCTCTTCATCGCTCTGACCCTTCCGTCTCTTCCTCTTCATCGCTCTGACCCTCCCATCTCTTCCTCTTCATCGCTCTGACCCTCCCGTCTCCTCCTCTTCATCGCTCCTTCGCAGTCCGCCCGACACACATATGCCTTAAGTAACAACTGCCTCGTAGTGTTATTTGTGAGGTCGTAAATTATGCCAGAGGATTTTACAAGCAGATAGACAGATTTACAGCAGGCGAGGTAATGAGGTGATATACCGAGGAGTTTCAAAGGCAGAAAGAGGAGGCTGCTGTGAGTTAAAAGTGTGAGCAAAGGTACAGACAGAGTCAGCAAAGGTACAGACAGAGAGCCCTGAGGTCAGACCAACACACAGCTGCTGCTACAGTTTAATCATATGTTAATAATGACAACATGTTCTGTTTACAGACTTGGGAAGACAAAGCAGACTCTCAGAAACCAGTTGTGTGATCATGAATGAGTGGGAGAACACCTGCTTTTGTATAATGTGAATACTATAATGTAAAATGTGTTTTTAATTATGTGAAAAGCCCTCACAGGGACGGACAAAGCAAACATGTTGTGGTGTTTCACATGATGTAATATGTAAGTTTGTGTTAGAATTATCCAAAATGAGGGAATGGAATTTCTAGCTCAATCTATTTCTACATCAACGACTGGTGGACATTTTCTTATTGTCTTTCCAGAGGACTGTCGTTCAGCCTTTGTGTGGTCCGCAAGCCCTTTCTGGTACCGACTCTTTCGACTTTGTCTTGCTTTTTAAATTGACCAAATTAGTCAATTAATTTGCTGATGTTTCATACTTTTTTTTAGCAAGAATGAGTCAGATGCAGACAAATGCCAACAACAAATATGTGAGACGTGTATTTAGCACTCTCAGTTCTCAACTAGCAGGTCCTGGGTTCCAATCCCAGTCTTTGTAACCATTTCTAGTCCTTGTGTTTCTTTATTAACACACTAAACAAAGTTACAACTGAAACTACAGTTCTGTGAATGCTGGATGACCGACAGAGGCGGTGCTTAAGCACTGTCTCTGGCGGTCAGGAAGGATGAAAAGAACCTTCCTTAGTTTTGACTGATCCCTGTACGACTGAGGTCTTACATAAACTTATTAACACACTATACATTAACATAGTTTATTGTCCAAAGTCTCTGAAAAACTGTAGATCTTAAATTGAATGTAAAGATGTATTTATTTTAACAGAGATCACTGAGAAAGCACTGATAACTGCATCAATCTATCTGTTAAATGCTGTATATATTATATTTATTTGTGTATTTCTTTAAATGACAACAGTAGTTTCTCAGAGGACTTCACAAAACTGTTAAAATCCCCAACACAGATCAGAGAATAGAACAGGCCTTGATGAAATGAGACCTGCCGATGTAGAAATGAGTTCTGTATTATTCTGTATTATTCTGTATTATTCTGTGACTGTGCTGTGATGATTTTAGAGGATATATATTTTCAGTCCTGTATATGCAAACATTTCATATCATCAGCAGATACTGACATGAACAAACTCTGTGTCCCAGATTAAATGCATTCAGAAAACAGTGAGTAACAGTTCTATCCAGACATTATACACAACATGAGTCTATGAAGTCTATCTGATCTTACACTGAACAAGTTGAATCATAAACTCACAATCAGCTGTTTGAGGCCGGAGAAGGACTGCTCCACAGAGTTGGCAGTGAGGACCTGCCGTTTCCCAGCGGCCTGTTCACCGAGGACACGGAGCAGGAGGTCTTTGACCGCATCCCCCTGAAGGAAGAAACCACACCATGTCTTTAACCGGCTATACATCTGGACTTGTATGCTTCAGAGACTTTCATTTTGGATGTGAAATGAAAGAATCCAAAATGAAAAATCCAGAATGAACCAGTGATGGAGACAGAGCAGTTTGACAGGACTGAAGCACAGTGACGTTGGCGTATTAGGGCCAGGGTGGTCCCGCCCACGCCCTGAGAAGGCTTTTCTCACCATTTTTTATGATTGATATTTTTATTCACTCAATATTCTTAATATTAACATTCAAACAAAAGCCTTTAAAAATTTATTTAAAATGATAAGATGTTCACACGCCTCCTCCTCGCGTCCACAGCAGCCAATCTCTGCTGTGATTGGCTCTCTTCCTTCTGCACTTAAAATAGCGAGGCGCCAAACTACGAGTAGCTACTGTTTACTTTCAGTAAAGTCCGTCTGTCTGGGACATGGATCTAAATGTATTCTACTAAGTTATAACTGTGAGCGCTCTCTGAAAAGTGATCAGTGAAGCCATGTAGTCAGTGTCAAGAAACTAGTTTTCCCTGAGCCTCGTAAAATGTGAGTAATCAGAGAAAGGCATTGTGGTTCTATCACCATTCAACACATGTACGTATGTTCTAAAGTCAGCGCATTGCACTGAAACTCAGACTGCACACAGAGACAGAACCGACTCCTTTTGAGAAACAGGGAGGTTTAAAGGCTCAGAAAATACTTTCCAGTGCTCCTACTATCCACTCTGTGTGGCAGTCAGACTCTCCTGTTCTGTCTTGAATATGACAGAAAACTCTGTCCTGCTCAAAATAAAAACACGGCGTCCTGTGCCGCACAAACGATGCAGCCGCATGTTTCTATTGTGAATGGACCGCGGTGGATCTGTGCGGTCAGGCCCCAATCAGAGTCATAGTCATAGCTCTCTTTCTGTGAGGATGAGGTTCACAGTCTGTGAGTGCGGAAGAAGTGCTCAAGGCAGAAGTCTGAAGCTGCATTTGATCCAGAACAGGGCTAGGACCAACCTCACCCTGCTCACCGTGAACAGCAAATGCGGACTCGGAGCATTGTCTAATGGTGCTTTCAGACCGGCTCATGCGTTGCGTCGGCTTTCAATGCAAAGTCTATGGTGCTTTCACACCGCCAACGCTGAAACGCTGAAGCCCCGCTCACCAGACGCGCATTCTCTAGTTTTAAGACGCAGGGGACTTCACACCAGAACGTCCTGACGCGAGCCGGAAGTACCGGAAGTAGCCAGCTCTGATGCTAACAAAGCTATGCTAGCGGCTTCTTTAGTAGACACGCACGGACATGGGGGAAAAGTGAAAAGGGAGGAGCAGGAGCGAAAAATGGACGCCCACAGGAGATGGATTCTGCTCATCCTTTCCTTGGGACGTTCGTGCGACAACCAATCAGAGAGCAGCAAAGTGGTCACAGGGACATTAGCGGACTGAGCGAGCAGACTGAAAATACTGTAAACAGCCAAAACAGGACCCACACCAGACTTCACCAGAACTCACACCAGGGCTGACAATGGGGGACTCTGTGCTTGTGAAAATATGTGTTGTCATGCTCCTGTGACTTTATGCAACTGCTTCAAGTGTGTTCACCGATGCGGAAATACCGTTTAATAATATGAAAAAACGTATGGCGCACCTCCGTGAACACATACTGCTGTTATATAAAGTCACCTCCGTGAACACATACTGCTGTTATATAAAGTCACCTCCGTGAACACATACTGCTGATATATAAAGTCACCTCCGTGAACACATACTGCTGTTATATAAAGTCACCTCCGTGAACACATACTACTGTTATATATAAAGTCACCTCCGTGAACACATACTGCTGTTATATAAAGTCACCTCCGTGAACACATACTGCTGTTATATAAAGTCACCTCCGTGAACACATACTGCTGTTATATAAAGTCACCTCCGTGAACACATACTGCTGTTATATAAAGTCACCTCCGTGAACACATACTGCTGTTATATAAAGTCACCTCCGTGAACACATACTACTGTTATATAAAGTCACCTCCGTGAACACATACTGCTGTTATATAAAGTCACCTCCGTGAACACATACTGCTGATATATAAAGTCACCTCCGTGAACACATACTGCTGTTATATAAAGTCACCTCCGTGAACACATACTACTGTTATATAAAGTCACCTCCGTGAACACATACTGCTGTTATATAAAGTCACCTCCGTGAACACATACTGCTGTTATATAAAGTCACCTCCGTGAACACATACTGCTGTTATATAAAGTCACCTCCGTGAACACATACTGCTGTTATATAAAGTCACCTCCGTGAACACATACTGCTGTTATATAAAGTCACCTCCGTGAACACATACTACTGTTATATAAAGTCACCTCCGTGAACACATACTGCTGTTATATAAAGTCACCTCCGTGAACACATACTGCTGTTATATAAAGTCACCTCCGTGAACACATACTGCTGTTATATAAAGTCACCTCCGTGAACACATACTGCTGTTATATAAAGTCACCTCCGTGAACACATACTACTGTTATATAAAGTCACCTCCGTGAACACATACTACTGTTATATAAAGTCACCTCCGTGAACACATACTGCTGTTATATAAAGTCACCTCCGTGAACACATACTGCTGTTATATAAAGTCACCTCCGTGAACACATACTGCTGTTATATAAAGTCACCTCCGTGAACACATACTGCTGTTATATAAAGTCACCTCCGTAAACACATACTACTGTTATATAAAGTCACCGTGAACACATACTGCTGTTATATAAAGTCTCCTCCGTGAACACATACTACTGTTATATAAAGTCTCCTCTGTGAACACATACTGCTGTTATATAGTCACCTCCGTGAACACACACTGCTGTTATATAAAGTCACTCTCTCACTCACACACACACACACTCACACACACGTCTCTCTTTGTCCAAAATGCCTCCATCATTTTGCTGTGGTTTTATTGTTAGTGCTGATGTTTTCAATGTTGTTAATAATCAGTTCAGCTCAAAGGCCTAGAGTAAAGTTGGTCTTGTGGCAATTTGACTATAATAATATAATAAATGTATGTGATTTGTTTTATAATGCTTTATGACTAAATATAATAATGTATACCATTTATTAATATAGACTAAGGGCTCTACTGCCAAATATATGACATCTACTTAAATTAACCATTGTTTATACTGTAGTTAGCGCCTATTCACAACAGTCTATGGCTTCACTAAAAGCTGTCAAACTGAGGAGGCACGTCTGCTAGGTGTTATTGGATATCCTATTGATTTTTCCTCTGGCAAAAGTTGGCCCGCCCACTTTTCTCCAAGCCCGCCCTATTCAACATTTCTGCCTACGTCCCTGAGACAGCAGAAATGTCATAGTTCATGAATGGGCAAGAATTCCAGTCTCTCGATGTGCAAAACTGATAGAGACATACCCCAAGCGACTTGCAGCTGTAATTGCAGCAAAAGGTGGCGCTACAAAGTATTAGCGCAAGGGGCCGAATAATATTGCACGCCCCACTTTTTAGTTTTTTATTTGTTAAAAAAAGTTAAAATTATCCAATAAATTTTGTTCCACTTCACGATTGTGTCCCACTTGTTGTTGATTCTTGACAAACATTTTTTTTTTTATATCTTTATGTTTGAAGCCTGAAATGTGGCGAAATGTTGAAAGGTTCAAGGGGGCCGAATACTTTCGCAAGACACTGTATATAATGTGGATTGACGTCTGTATGGGTTGAAAATTCCATTAGAATTTGATGTGATTTGTTTGCAGTAAACTGTTTCTGAACAACATTGTTAAGACGACAGAAAATCCTCAATTCTTATTCATTTATTCAAGAATGATTCGGCGACATTTGAGGCGATAATGAACACAGTCTGAGCTGGAGGTGGTCACACATCGACTCTCAGAGGAATAAATAAGTAAATTGGTGTTTGATCAGAGTTGTTATTATGAATAAATGTTTCTGTTAAAAGGAGCAGACCATGTTTACCAGGAAAATACATGATAGGATCACCCAGGACCAGCCGCACGTGTTCCAGACCCACCAATGACAGCTTTTCAGAAAGAGAGAGAACAACCACATTTCAGCTCTGTCTATTTAAGTACGTCAGATTTATTAATATAGCGCCGTTCACAAACCAGTCCCAACCATCAGCTCTGACCCACAGGACCAAGGACCATGGAAACTCTTCTGCATTCACACGCTCTGCATTTTTAACCATTTTTAACCTTTGGGAGTGACAGTGGCTCAGTTGGTAGAGCCTTTGAGTCTGAAGGTTGTGGGTTCGAGCCCACCACAGGACCCTCTCCATCGACTCCCACTGATGTCTGCTGTCGTTGTGTCCTTGGGCCACTTTGCCTATAAGGAGCGTGGAAATGTTCTTCGCTGCTTACCTGTGTACATGTATATGTATATGTGTACGTGTATGTGTATATGTACGTGTATGTGTATGTGTATATGTATATGTATACGTGTATATGTATATGTATATGTATACGTGTATGTGTATATGTATATGTACGTGTATATGTGTATGTGTATGTGTACGTGTATATGTGTATGTGTATGTGTATGTGTACGTGTATATGTGTATGTATATGTATATGTGTACGTGTATATGTATATGTGTATGTGTATGTGTACATGTATATGTATATGTGTCTGTGTATGTTTATGTGTATGTGTATATGTATGTGTACATGTATATGTATATGTGTCTGTGTATGTGTATATGTATATGTATGTGTACATGTATATGTATATGTGTATGTGTATGTGTATGTGTACGTGTATATGTGTATATGTATATGTATGTGTACATGTATATGTATATGTGTATGTGTATGTGTATGTGTACGTGTATATGTGTATGTGTATGTGTATGTGTATGTGTACGTGTATATGTGTATGTGTATGTGTATGTGTACGTGTATATGTGTATGTGTATGTGTATGTGTATATGTGTATGTGTATGTGTATGTGTACGTGTATATGTATATGTGTATGTGTATGTGTACGTGTATATGTGTATGTGTATGTGTATGTGTACGTGTATATGTGTATGTGTATGTGTATGTGTATGTGTATGTGTACGTGTACGTGTATGTGTATGTGTATGTGTATGTGTATGTGTACGTGTATGTGTATGTGTATGTGTACGTGTATATGTGTATGTGTATGTGTATATGTGTATGTGTATGTGTATGTGTACGTGTATATGTGTATGTGTATGTGTATGTGTATGTGTACGTGTATGTGTATGTGTATGTGTATGTGTATATGTGTATGTGTATGTGTATGTGTACATGTATATGTATATGTGTCTGTGTATGTTTATGTGTATGTGTATATGTATGTGTACATGTATATGTATATGTGTCTGTGTATGTTTATGTGTATGTGTATGTGTACATGTATATGTATATGTATATGTGTATGTGTATGTATATGTGTCTGTGTATGTTTATGTGTATGTGTACATGTATATGTGTATGTGTATGTGTATGTGTATGTGTATGTGTATGTGTATGTGTATGTGTATGTGTACATGTATATGTATATGTATATGTGTATGTGTATGTGTATGTGTATGTGTATGTGTACATGTATATGTATATGTGTATGTGTATGTGTATGTGTATGTGTATGTGTATGTGTACGTGTATATGTGTATGTGTATGTGTATGTGTACGTGTATATGTGTATGTGTATGTGTATGTGTATATGTACGTGTATATGTGTATGTGTATGTGTACGTGTATATGTGTACGTGTACGTGTATATGTGTATGTGTATGTGTATGTGTATGTGTATATGTGTACGTGTATATGTGTACGTGTATATGTGTATATGTGTATATGTGTATATGTGTATATGTGTATATGTGTATGTGTATGTGTATGTGTATGTGTATGTGTATGTGTATGTGTATGTGTATGTGTATGTGTATGTGTATGTGTATGTGTATGTGTATGTGTATGTGTATGTGTACGTGTATATGTGTATATGTGTATATGTGTATGTGTATGTGTATGTGTATGTGTATGTGTATGTGTATGTGTATGTGTATGTGTATGTGTATGTGTACGTGTATATGTGTGTATGTGTATGTGTATGTGTATGTGTATGTGTATGTGTATGTGTATGTGTATGTGTATGTGTATGTGTATGTGTACGTGTATGTGTATGTGTATGTGTACGTGTATATGTGTATATGTGTATGTGTATGTGTATGTGTACGTGTATGTGTATGTGTATGTGTACGTGTATATGTGTGTATGTGTATGTGTATGTGTATGTGTATGTGTATATGTGTATATGTGTATGTGTATGTGTATGTGTATGTGTATGTGTATATGTGTATATGTGTATGTGTATGTGTATGTGTATGCATCAAACTGAAATTTCCCCATTGTGAGACGAATAAAGTACCTTTTTCTTTTTTTAATCATTTTTAACCTTTTTGAACCTTTTTAAACTTTTTAAAAAAAACAATTTTTTATTTTTTTTAACCATTTAACCAAAGATAGTCCATTTCTCTTGTGCTGTGTGCTCCTCTTTCCTACTGTTCTAAGCAAAGGAAGGTTTCTCACCATCATCTGTACTTCTTAGCAAGTTTTCCCGACGTTTCGTCCTCAATCCTAAGGACTTCTTCAGGGAATGAATTCTTGGACCGTGCGTTGGAGATTTATAACCTATGGGTGTGGTTAGCCACGCCCTAATCCTGATACTAACTCATAAACAATCTAAGGTCTGATGTAGAAGGGAGCAGGTCTAACGACCCTGCTGAGGCTAACGACCCTAACTCATTAGCATGTCACTGACCTATTGTCTGCTGGGATGCTCAAGTGGAGTGCAGGTCTCACCCCTCCTAACTCATTAGCATGTCACAGACCTTGTCCCAAGTTAGGGCGTTGTTTTTAGGATGTCGTCATAGATGCGAGGCAAAACAAATCTTAACCCTCCTCCTCTGTTAAGAGAAGGTTTTTGTTTCCTCATAAAAATGGCTTCTTTCACCCCTCTCTCAAACCAATTCTTCTCCCGAGCCAGAATTTTAACCTCTGTGTCATCCACCGTGTGGTTGGAGGCCTTCTCTCTGAAACTCCCGCCACATACGGTAAGGACACCCCTCTCCTCCTACTTTCTTCTGTCTGTTATTAAAAGGTTATAAATCTCCAACGCGCGGTCTGAGAATTCATTCCCTGAAGAAGTCCTTAGGATTGAGGACGAAACGTCGGGAAAACTTGCTAAGAAGTACAGATGATGGTGAGAAACCTTCCTTTGCTTTCACTAAACCCTGTACGACTGAGGGTTTACACAAACTTTCCTACTGTTCTGTAACTTGTGATGCAACACTGACATTTCCCTCTGCGAGACAAATAAAGTATCTCTTAATCTCATAAAAAACACACTGACAACACAGTTCTGGCACACTCCCCACCCCTTCTGTCTTAATGCTCATATCTCCAACTTGATCTGCAATGACAATTCCGCTCAATATTATGCCATGATCAGAGCAGTTTCATTGTCTTTTAAAAGTAAGTAATCTGGTACGTAGTGGTAATGTTTATTTATGTACCGCCTCTCACAGACCAGAGTCAAGCTCTTTACTATTGTTATTTTTGGGCATTTGTCTCTGACTCCACACAGAGACGGAGCAGTCACTACAGGAGGCACATTTAGACCTATTGTACATGGTTTTAGTGTTGGGGGAAACCGGAGCACCTGGAGATAACCTACGCAGACATGGGGAGAACATGCAAACTCCACTCAGAAAGGCCCTGTTCCGACCAGGATTCAAACCCAGGACCTTCTTACAGAGAAGCGAGAATGCTAACCACTCAGCCACCGTGTATAGCCTCTAAATGACAAAAATGATGCATAATATTTATTGTGTGCGTTCCGGTTGTTATGAATGAAATGTAATTGTGTTGCTTGTATTGTGGTTGTGCTGTCAATGCATGTTCGATAATGGAAACACACATCTCTTTGGCTTACAGAGCGACTGAGACTGGCAGAGTGGTTTCTTTCAAAACGGAAAACGAAACACATTTAAAATCCGGATAAAAATGTGGTACCTGGAGGTTGTCGAACTTGAGTCCAGGCATCGTGAGTCTGCTGGTCTCCACGAAGCCCGGGCTGCTCTGCGGAGCGCCCACAGAAATCAGAATCTTCCTGGTCTCTTCCGACGGCAGCCAGGCCTCGTGCCGTCTGTCCACTTCACTCAGACTCAGAGCGGTGGCGAACGGGTCGTCACTGCCTGAAAACACCGCCTGCAGCTGATTGAAGGGCTGCGGCTGAGCACCTGCAGCCACCGGCACCGCGGGGGTGTGGGGACTTTTGCACGAGTCATTCAGGGTTGGGGCAAACACGGAGGTGGGAGTCCCAAAGTCAAGTGCCGTCCCCGGGGTAGAAATGGACGAGGAGGTGGACGAGAGTTGCCGCTCCGGTGTGGGACTACACGGCAGCTCGGCATTTGGATTAGAAACTGAAATAAATGAAGAAGGAGCAGTAAAGGAGTCGAAAAAGTCGGTTGCCGGATTGGTTTGTCCATTGTCAGAGAAGAACTTACTCAGACTCGGGCTGGGCTGGCATATGAGGGGGGCAGGAGGCTTACTGGGGGTCACTACCTCCTCAATCACCCCCGTGGTCATCATGCCAAAACTGGGGGACTTTATAAGGGTTGGTTGGAATCCGTCCGGGACTAAAGCTTTGGGCTGGGTTCCTTGACTGAAGATAGTGCAAACAGGGATCGGCTCCTGACTTGGGCTTACGTTTTTGGTTTCCACTAGCTCTTGCAACACACTTTCTTCAGATGTTTTGTCCGAGTGGTCAAAAAATATATCACTTCCTGTGTCATCTTGCTGACTGGACGTTTCTTTATTTGAATCGTCCGCTACTTTTTCCTCTGCGGCTTCATCTGTCAGTGAGAAAACGATCTCCTGAGAATTCTGTCCAATTTCTAAACTTTCTGTTTCAGGAATCTCCAAATCACTGGTCGGCTCCTCTTCTTCTGCATCGAGAATGGAGTCTATAGCTGGTACTTCATCCTCCTCGCTGTTGTTCGGCGAGTCAGATATCATCACACTTTCCATCATTTGGTCATTAAGCTTATCCATTATGCTCTCAGACGGTGTTGCGATGCTGTCCTCTTCAGGCGTCCTAAGGTCTCCGCCTAAATCAACGCTTTCGTCCTGTGGTAATGCTCTTTCGTTGGAGGCAGCGTGACTGGATGACGGCTCTGGGCTTTGCTCCGGAGATGCAGGAGTTGGAGTTTCTTTGGTGACTTCTGTGATGTCCAAGGTGACCGGCCGCTCGGCTGTAGTCTCCCCACTGTCCATCTCCACCACTGCAGACAAAGACAACACAAAACACACACAATGCTGACTCGAGTGTAGGGTGTCCAATCCTGTGCTAGTTATAAAGTTAATTATGTCAATGAACACAAACATAAGATAAAATAAGACACATATATGAGGGGAGATTTCAGTGTCATCGCTGTGCACATAACAGCAGAGAAAAAAGAACAAAGTCTCAGATTGCACACATCAACACGGATCTATTATTTAAGAAGTGCTTTGTGTTACCCTGTGTAGGAAAAGCACTCTATAAGTAAGTCAGTAATGTTTATTCACATAGCGCCTTTCCCTGACCAGCGTCACAAAGCGGGTTACAATTGTGGGCATTAGTCTCTCACTCCACACAGAGAGCGGGGTGTGCAAGCAACGACTGATTAGATTAGAAATTAACATTTAAATAACAAAATATAAAGTAATTAAGATGATGGAATAGATTACAATTACATAAACTCTTGAGCTATAACGTCACTTGATTGTTTTAGGTAATGACACATGTGTGTGTATATACTTTACGTGTGTGTATGTATATATATATATATATATATATTGGACATTAGCAGTGGAGAATATGAGCAGAAGAAACAAAAGTGCACACGTGTTTTAACGTGTGACTTATGTTTTATGGGTTCTATTTCATCCTTCCTGACCGCCAGAGGCGGTGCTTTAAGCACTGAATGATCATCTTTGAGCATGCGCAGTTCGAGAATTAAATGACAACAAAGTCACTTGTGACCTCCTCGTGACCCCCGTGAGTCTATATAGGTCACGTGACACGAGAGCCCAGCCTCTTTTCTTCTTCTCGCAGCGCAGGTTTGAGTTGTGCGTGTGTGTTTGAGCGTTTGAGCTACCTACCTACCACATACGTCCTGCTTGCACATCAGCTCCGTGACTCGCGTCGAGGTAGTGGGTGGATCTCGCCCCTCAGGGGCTGTGCAAGCTCCGCCGGCTCACCGGTGAGTTCTGTCCACGTGTGTGCGTGTGATTTTTAGTTTAAGCTTTCCGTTTTCGGAGTGAGCTGACGTTTGATGTCCACGGTTATACTGTTCGTTTTCTGTTCAGTTTGTGTTTATGCTCTGTTTGGCCGGTGTTAATTGAGTCGTGTGTGTGGCGTTCCCTGCCCCGACCACGTTGTGTTTGTGTGTACATTTTCGTCTAGTCTCCTGTTTTCAGTGTGTACTAGCGTTTTGTTTCATCTATCAACAGTTATACTGTTCGTCCTCTGTTCAGTGTGTTACTTTTGCTCTGTTTGGGGAGCCGTGGGTGGTGTCCTCTGCCACACCTGGCTCTTTACTCAGCCCACGTTGGGTGCGTGTGTGCATTATTTCGTCTAGTCTTCTGTTTTCAGTTTGTACTAGCGTATTTTTATATCAGCAGTTATACTGTTCGATTTCTGTTCAGTTTGTTGATATTGCTCTGGTTGTGGAGGCGAGTGTGGCGTTCTCTGCCCCACCGGACTCTTTCGTTGGCCCACATTGTGTGTTTGTACATTTTCGTTGGCTCTTCTGTTTTCAGTTTATGCTAACATTAGTTTTTCTTTACCAACAGTTAGACTGTTCGCCCTCTGTTCGGTTGTTTGGTTTTCTCTGTGTGCTTGAGTCGTCTGTGGCGTTTTCAGCTCGACCCGACTCTGCTTACATTGCTCCACCAGTTCAGGCGCGCTCGTTATGCACGAGTCGCTGGGCTGTCGTGGGTGCATGGCACCGATGCCCCGCGAGGATGGCCATGACCTCTGCCCTGCGTGCCTGGGTATCGGGCATTTGAGACAGGGCCTGACGGTGGACGCCTGCTCCAATTGTGCGGTACTGCCACTCTCTGTACGCGTGGAGCGCCTGGCGGCCCTGGATCCGGATGAGGGCTCTTCGGAGGTGCCGCCCTGCCTGCCACCTGCTGCCCAGCCCTCTGGGTCTAAGCGTGCGGCTGTGTCCACTGCTTCCTCGGCTCCGCAGAGGAAGCGTAGGGTGCCTGCAGGGTTGTCTGCACGGATGGACCACCTTGCGTCCGAGATGGCCCAAATGAAGGCACTTCTGCAGGATGTTCGCCCGGTTTCGGGGGAACATGTGCTGGGCCCTCCTGTGCCGGACCTGGCCCCGTTGTGGGAGGACGATGTGATGTCTGTGGCTGCATCTGACACTCATTTTCGTCTTGACCCTGAGGAGGTTGATTCCAGGGCCTCTGACGCTGGTTCCTTGGCGTCCACGGGGTGCCTGGACGGAGAGGAGAGTGGGGCGTCCTCTGCCGTCCGCTCTGCACTCGCCCACTTGGGGCTTGATGTCCCGCAGGGAACTGTGCCGTCTGGTAGCGCCTTCTTTAAGCGACAGCGGCCCCTTCCCTCTGTCTCTGTGCCTCCTTTGATGGAGTACGTGAAGGAGTTACATGCATGCTGGACGGATACAAAGGCTATGTCCAGACTGACGTCCGATGGCCGGGCTTTGGCTTCAATGCAGGATGCCCCCAAATTTGGCTTGGGCCACATGCCGCCCGTCGAGCCGGCAGTGGCCTCCTTGATTGTTTCGCCGGAGGAGGCCCTCCGGTCTGATCCGAGGTGCCCTAACCCCCAGTGTCGCCTCACAGATGAGCTGCTGTGTCGGGCGTACGATACTGGGGCGCGAATGGGGCGCATGGGGAACTCTCTTTCCCATTTGTTACTGGGCCTTTCGAACGCACTGGAGGTTTCTACAGTCGATGCCCCGACCCAGGGACTGTTGGATGCATCCCTCCACGCTTTTGCCCTTATGTCGCGGGAACTGGGCCGCCTGCTGTCGACCCTGACTCAGACACGTCGGCAGGTGTGGTTGGCACAGTCACCCCTCACTGAGCCCTGTAGGAGGACTCTCCGGAGTGTTCCGGTGCTTCCGGGGGAGCTCTTTGGTGCGGCTGCGCTTCAGGCGCTGGAGCGCACGGCGCAGGCCACCCGGACGCGTGACCAGCTGGTTGGGCTGCACCGGCGGGCCTCTCCACGGGTTGCCCCTCCTGCTGCTACTCCGCGGGTGTATGGTGTTCCACAGCCCTTTCCTAGGGGTTCGCGGCCACCAGGTGTCCCTCCGCCTGACCATAGGGGCTTTCGGCCTTCTACCCGGCGGCCTCCCCAGAACGCACGGGCTCTCGGGCGCCCCCCCGGGGTCTCCAGGCCACGGGGGGCTCGGAGATGAGGTCAGGCCGCTGACGGTGGGTTCTTTTACCCGGGAGCAGTTGGACTACTGGACCGCTCACACCTCAGACCTCTGGGTGTTGGGCACGCTCTCCCGGGGGTACACTCTCCAGTTCCACCGTCGGCCTGCGGTCCCTGGCCCCGTCAGGTGGACTGTGATCCACGACCGGGCCAGGACACTGGCACTGTCCGTAGAGATTGCCACCTTGCTGGACAAGGAGGCTATAGTGCCTGTGGACCCCCTGCTGGACCCAGGGGGCTTTTATTCGATTTATTTTCTAGTTCCGAAGAAAACTGGCGACTGGCGTCCGGTTTTGGACCTTCGGGGCCTCAATGTGTTCCTCAAGACGATATCGTTTCGGATTTTGAGGACCCCGGAGCTGTTGCAGGCAATATCTCCGGGCGATTGGTTCACATCCATCGACCTGAAGGATGCTTATTTTCACGTGCCGATTGCCCCGCATCACCAGCGGTTTCTGCGTTTTGCTTTCCGGGGGCGGCATTATCAATTTCGGGTGCTCCCCTTCGGGCTGTCCCTGTCCCCCAGGGTCTTTTCCCGGGTCGTTGCGGCGGCCTTGGCCCCTCTTCAGGCAGGGGGGTTGAGGGTCCTGCCTTATCTGGACGACTGGCTCGTGTGCGCCTCCAGTCGTGCCCAGGCCGTTCGGGACACTCAGACTGTCCTCGACCACGTTGGGCGTTTGGGTCTGCGGGTCAATGTTGCCAAGAGCAATTTGGTTCCGGCTCAGGCAACGACTTTCCTGGGGGTGTACCTAGATTCGGTTGCCATGACCGCCCGTCCGTCGGCTCTGCGGGTCGATGGCATTGTGGACATGCTCCACAGATTTCAGCGGGGTCGGGCGTTGCCGTTCCTGCTGTACCTCAGCCTCTTGGGGAAGTTGACGGCGGCCTCTGCCGTTGTGCCGCTGGGCCTTCTCTCCCTTCGTCCCATGCAGATGTGGCTGAACGGATTACGTTTAGATCCGTCACGCTTCGTTCACAGGCGACGCAGACTCCTGCTCTCGCCGCAGTGCCTGGAGTCCCTATCCTGTTGGCGGGACAGGTCTTGGATCGAGAGTGGTGTCCCACTGGTCTCTCTTCCGTCTCGGAGGGAGGTGGTGCACACCGATGCGTCCCTCACTGGTTGGGGGGCGACGTGGCAGGGCAGGATGGCACAGGGGACTTGGTCTCCAGAGGTCCGCCGGCTGCATGTGAATGCCCTGGAGCTCATGGCGGTCCGCCTTGCTCTCGCGCACTTCCTCCCACGACTGCGTGGCCGGCATGTCATGGTGCGGTCCGACAACACCACGGTGGTGCATCACGTCAACCACCTGGGGGGTACCCGGTCCGTGACGCTGTTGCGGTTGACCCGGGAGCTACTGCTGTGGGCAGCCCTTCGCTTGGCAAGCTTGAGGGCCTCCTACATTCCGGGGGTGCACAATGTGGTGGCGGACCTTCTGTCCCGCCAACGCCCCCAGCCCGGGGAGTGGCGTCTCCACCCGGAGGTGGTGGCCAGCATTTGGACTACGTTTGGCCGGGCCGAGGTGGATCTGTTCGCGTCGGAGGCATCAACCCACTGCCCGCTGTGGTTTTCCCTGACGGACGTGGCTTGCCCTCTGGGCCTGGATGCGCTGGCGCACGATTGGCCCAGTACGCTGCTCTACGCTTTCCCTCCTCTGCCACTAATTTTCCCAACCCTCCTGAGAGTTCTCCAGGAGGGGCACCACCTTCTCCTGGTAGCTCCGTTCTGGCCGGGCCGGATCTGGTTTCCATTGCTGCACAGGCTCTGCTGCGGCTCTCAGAGACCGCTGCCCCGACGGCGGGATCTCCTGTCCCAGCTGGGGGGGAGGCTCCTGCACCCCAGTCCCGAGCGGCTTCAGCTCTGGGTGTGGCCACTGCGGGGTCCAGTGCAATTGTCCCGAGGTATGGTGAGGGGGTCGCCCGCACCATCTCCAATGCCAGGGCGCCTTCCACTCGACGACAGTACGCCAACCGATGGAAGCTGTTTGACAAGTGGTGTCTGACGTGGGGACATGATGCTGTGCGTTGCCCGGTGCCTGCCATTCTGCAGTTCCTCCAGGATCTCATGGACCGGGGGCGCTCTCCCTCTACACTCAAGGTATATGTGGCGGCAATATCTTGTTTTCATGAGGGTGTGGCCGGTTCTACGGTGGGGAGTAACGGGGATGTTTCCCTGTTCCTGAAGGGTGCTCGCCGTCTTCATCCCCCGCGACGGCCCATGGTTCCACCCTGGGACCTGACGTTGGTTCTGGAGGCGTTGCGGGCTCCCCCGTTTGAGCCCCTGGATCGTGTGGACCTGAAGTGGGTCTCCCTTAAGACCGCTTTTCTTCTGGCTATGGCCTCGGGTAAGCGTGTGAGTGAACTGCAGGCTCTGTCGTTTCACGAGTCCTGCTGCCGATGGGATCCCAATGGTGGGGGTTACGCTTTGGCCGGAAGCTTCCTTCCGCCCAAAGGTGTTCGCTGGTGCGGTCCTTCCACTTAGTTTGGCCCGGTTTGGTACTGGGGCCTCTGTAGAACCGCTTTGTCCTGTCAGGGCATTGGAGGTTTACCGAACTGCCACAGCCAGTGTGCGGGGGTCGGATCGCCTCTTCGTGTGCTATGCCGGCCCCAGGAAGGGCCAGGCTCTGTCGTCTCAGCGCCTCTCCAAGTGGGTTGTCGAGGTGATCAGACAGTGCTACCTCTCCCATGGGCGCCAGCTGCCTGCTGGGGTGAGGGGTCATTCGACCAGGGGCGTCTCTGCCTCCTGGGCTGCTATGAGCGGTGTGCCTCTGGACGCAGTCTGTGCGGCCGCCTCCTGGACGTCGCAGTCTACCTTCGCGACGTACTACAGGGTCAATGTGGCGGTCCCTGGTCCGCTGGAGGGGGTGCTGCGGCACCATTCGACGTTATGAGGTGGGTGTGTACCTCTCGTTGACCCCTCGGGACCTTGTTGGTATTTGTCATCCAGTGCTTAAAGCACCGCCTCTGGCGGTCAGGAAGGAGGATAAATAGAACGAAAGTTACGACTGTAACTACGGTTCTATGAATCCTGGATGACCGCCAGAGCGTCCAGTCCCTCAGGGCCACGGTCTGCTTGCGAGGTGAAAAGGGGCTGGGCTCTCGTGTCACGTGACCTATATAGACTCACGGGGGTCACGAGGAGGTCACAAGTGACTTTGTTGTCATTTAATTCTCGAACTGCGCATGCTCAAAGATGATCATTCAGTGCTTAAAGCACCGCCTCTGGCGGTCATCCAGGATTCATAGAACCGTAGTTACAGTCGTAACTTTCGTTTTGATTCTTATAAATAAACGGGGAATCTCCAACTACCACGTGTCTGAACCCTCAGTAATAACATCAACAGAGACGAGTGAATGACAGAAATATCAGATGAATGGATAAGTAATAATGCAGTAATGATATTAACAGATAAAGTGAAAGTGGATTAATATCAATGACACTTGTACAGACTCAGCAGTCCTCGTTGTACAGTCTGACAGCCTGACATGTCTAAAGGACGGAGACGTAACTTGACACAGAGCACACAACACAACAAAGTTCACAGATGTCTTTAAATGCTCCGTGACAAATAAGCACAACACACTCAGTAAGATGCTCTCAGCTAGCAGCTACTTTAGCAGCTACTTTAGCAGCTACTTTAGCAGCTACTTTAGCAGCTACTTTAGCAGCTACTTTAGCAGCTACTTTAGCAGCTACTTTAGCAGCTACTTTAGCAGCTACTTTAGCAGCTACTTTAGCAGCTACTTTAGCAGCTACTTTAGCAGCTACTTTAGCAGCTACTTTAGCAGCTACTTTAGCAGCTACTTTAGCAGCTACTTTAGCAGCTACTTTAGCCGCTACTTTAGCCGCTACTTTAGCCGCTGTGTCCACTCCATCCGCGGGACAGATGCACAGAAACCCGGGACAACCCGCCCCAGCCCGGGCTGGTGTGACGTCACTGAGGTGATTTAGCAACACACTGAATCTGAAATATATCCACAAACTGTACACGATAAATATTTAAAGTAATTACCTTTATTGCAGACTGACAGCTAGAACTGTGCTACGCATGCGCCAACCCTCCCGGAGCTGCCGTACGGTGTCTCAGAGCGGCCAAAACTCGCACCTCCGATGTTTTTAGTATTCACCAAAGAGCAGTACGTATCTTTTCATGACTAGATTAATGCTACAGCAGACCTGCTACGTAAAGTACCCAACAGCAGACCTGCTCCGGTCATAACACGGAAGTCCACGCTCTGAATGAAAACTCTGTGATATTGTTATGTTTTATTTGCTCTGTTAGAAAGAAAGACTAATAAAGAATAACGACTTCACTGACGATGGAGGACGATGCTCCGGTCATTTATGGACTTGAGTTCCAGGTGCGTGTTGCATACGGACTTTAAAACCTGCATTATTATTCACTAAATACATGATCTTACACTTATTTCGAGCTTTGTTTGATGTTAAACACATATTCTTATGTTTGCACAGGCCCGAGCTCTCTGTGCACAGACTGCAGAGACTGACTCCATTCGCTTTCTGGTTGGAACACAATCCCTGAAATTTGACAACCAGGTAATGTGCAGCACGTCAGTTATGTTTTTATAATTACACATTTCATTGAGGAAATTCCTAAAATTAAATTAAATTCCATTATTCTTGTAGCGCCCTAAATCACCACAGTAGTTTCTCAGAGGACCTAAAAAACTGTTGAAATCCCCAACACAGATCAGAGAATCAAAGCTTTTAACTGAATTACCGTTTGTATTTTATTATTTAAAGATTCCTGTGACTCTGACTTGTCCTTTTATCCTGATATCTTTGTCATTTCATTACAATTTAATACATTGTTTAATGTTATTGATCACTATAAACTAAAGGTTGGTCATCTGTCACCGTTATCTATTCTGTCCTGGTCCAAATGTTGACGTGAAGAACAAAGAAAAAGAGAATATGTATTACGACACGGCCGAGGTCTGTAGTTAGACTTCAGCGTTATGAATGTGAACTCTCAAATGTGTGTGTTTTAATATGTTTGTGCTAGTTTAGGAAGATTCATCATGTCTTCTTAGTAGAATATAAAGTATCGGGTTCTTTTATACCAGACAATAGTAGAATAGTTTTTGAAACCAGTGCTTTTAATGTTGTATTGTGCTGTTGCATGAATGTATATGAAAGCAACACGTATGACCAAGGATAGAAATGTGTGGACGCTCTGAGCACTCTTTAGGAAGCAGGTGTGTGTGGCGCTCAGTGGCGTGGAGCGAGACGGCTCAAATGGAGATTATTATTTTCTATGGAGACAATATTAGTTTGCAGATCTGTACCTCGCACCTTTTTCAAACAAAAAGAAGATGAAAACATGGGTCACATTAACCGTCAGACAGCTTTCTTATGCTGAACAAGTTAGTTTTTGCAGAGTGTGTGATAGATGTATCAGAGGGAGATGAATGAGGCTGTTGTGTGTGTGATAATAACTTGTATATGTGCGTTTGTGAGGACCATGAGTGTGTGCCGGCGTGCCTACACACACATCGTGGAGAGGTCATTACAGAGACAGATGACAGAAACAGTTGGCTCTGAATGGAGGAGAAATAATTAGCTCAGTGAGAGAGAGGGAGGCTGCACCGGGACGAGAGAGATGTCTGCCTCAAAAACAGACAAAAAAATGTCTCTCCTGGCAAACGCCGGTGTGAAAATGGTCTGGCACTGAATGCAGACGCGGCTCAATCCAAGTGCTCTGTAGTGACGGTTGTTCTCGTTAGGAATGGTGACAATGCATCCTGGGAATTTAATCCACCATTCTAATAAATCTATAGCTTTATTTTTGTTTTTTTATTTAAACAGGAAAGTCCCATTTTCCCTGTTTTTCAAGTGAGTCCTGGACAAAAGTTACAGATTATAAAAAACTGTTAAATACAATCAGACAACTGCAGATTATATAAAACAGTTACAGATTATAAAAACAACTACAGATTATAAAAACAGTTACAGATCATATAAAAACAGTTACAGATTATATAAAACAGTTACAGATTATATAAAACAGTTACAGATTATAAAAACAGTTACAGATTATAAAAACAGTTACAGATTATAAAAACAGTTACAGATTATAAAAACAGTTACACACAGTTACAGATTATATAAAACTGTTAAACACAATCAGACAACTGCAGATTATATAAAACAGTTACAGATTATAAAAACAACTACAGATTATAAAAACAACTACAGATTATAAAAACAGTTACAGATCATATAAAAACAGTTACAGATTATATAAAACCGTTACAGATTATATAAAAACAGTTACAGATTATAAAAACAGTTACAGATTATAAAAAAACAGTTACAGATTATATAAAAACAGTTACAGATTATAAAAACAGTTACAGATTATAAAAACAGTTACACACAGTTACAGATTATATAAAACTGTTAAACACAATCAGACAACTGCAGATTATATAAAACAGTTACAGATTATAAAAACAACTACAGATTATAAAAACAACTACAGATTATAAAAACAGTTACAGATCATATAAAAACAGTTACAGATTATATAAAACCGTTACAGATTATAAAAACAGTTACAGATTATAAAAACAGTGACAGATTATAAAAAAACAGTTACAGATTATATAAAAACAGTTACAGATTATAAAAACAGTTACAGATTAAAAAAACAGTTACACACAGTTACAGATTATAAAAACAGTTACAGATTATAAAAACAGTTACAGATTATAAAAAAACAGTTACAGATTATATAAAAACAGTTACAGATTATAAAAACAGTTACAGATTATAAAAAAACAGTTACAGATTATATAAAAACAGTTACAGATTATAAAAACAGTTACAGATTATAAAAACAGTTACAGATTATATAAAAACAGTTACAGATTATAAAAACAGTTACAGATTATATAAAAACCGTTACAAAAAGCTTTTTTCCCAGTTCTTTTCAGGTAAAGAGTATAAACAAGTATAAAAATATGATCCAGCTTTAATCTCACAGTTTCCTGTCGTGTCTGAAATGAAGACGATCGTATTAATGTCACACAAAGGTGAAGAAGGTTCTGAGGAGAATGTAAATCTATAATGACCTGAAACAGAACCATCTGAGGTCTGTTTGTTTTTACTAAAGAGAGACGAGGAAAACACTGTGATTAAAGACCTACAAATAATAACTGAGATAAAATGGTTTTCTTTGTGGCACTAAACAGATTGTGTTGTTGTGTTGTGTAGTGTTATCACACTGTTGTGTTTTTTATTATCACCCCCACCTCCCTTAGGGACCCCCTGCAACACACACACACATGTACACACAGACACACACATGTACACACAGACACACACATGTACACTTACATATACACACACAGACACTCACACACGCATACAGACACACACACCGAAACGCACACACATACATACATATACACATACAGAAACACACGCACACACATACATATACACGCACACAGACACACATGCACACACATTCCCACTCACACACACACACACACACGCAGATGCACGTGTACATACACACACACACACACACATACATACACACACACACGCACACACACACGCAGACACACGTGCACACATTCCAGGCAGTGTCTCTCCAATGGATAAACACAAACTAAATAATACAGCAGTTACAGTTCTATACAGTACTTTTAGTTCATCAAAAGACAATAATAGCAGCAAAAAATAACAAATACGTTTTTTTATTCAACGTTTATTCAACCATGAAAAATCCCATTGAGATTAAGAACCTCTTTTTCAAGGAAGTAAATGTGTGAATCTATACATACTTTTAAATACACAGATTAAGATGCACACACGGAACACAAAAACAGGAGCTGATAGTCTTGGGGCTGGACTGGGATCTGATATCTGTGATGGCTCAGACCCGGCTCAGACCAGGCTCAGACCCGGCTCAGACCAGGCTCAGACCCGGCTCAGACCAGGCTCAGACCCACCTCAGACCCACCTCAGACCCACCTCAGACCCACCTCAGACCCACTTCAGACCCACCTCAGACCCACCTCAGACCCACCTCAGACCCGGCTCAGACCAGGCTCGAGGTGATGCTCGGGATGCACAGATCAGATGAATCTTGGTTCTGGCTCCGGGAGATGGCCTTGATCAGAATCCAGTCCTTAGACCCTCGTCTGTAGAGTCAGATCCACTTTAGAGGGGACCAGGAGGAGGCTCGGTCCGGTCTGGATTGTGAGGTTTATTACGATTAATCTCAGGTTTAATTAATCGTCTGCGTGTGTATTTTGTTGTTTTGTGACTGGCTGAATGTCTGGTATTGGTATCTTAAATACATTACTATTCATGTATTCATTAATTTAACTTTAATTGACTGTATTCTTCATAAACTCTTTCCTAAAAGTATAAATGTTGATGTCCAGGCGGAGAACGTTGCTTGACTTTGTGACACACACTGTCTAACTCTTTGCTGAGGCTCCATGGTGAGTCCAGCTCTTGCAGGTTTTAACGTAAAATATAAAGAATGTTTTTTCCGATTGGCATTTTAGCCCTGATAGCTTCTGCGCCCTCCGTAAGCCTCCTAGCCTCTCCACCTCCCATTAAGCATAATGCAGGGTGGAAATGTCTCTCTTAACTCTCTGAGCACCTCTCAAATCCCTCAGAGACCAATAGCAGGAATGACAGATCGGAGGGCGCGTCGGCATGGCATTTAAGGCTGCTAACGAGATAAAGCGTTAGAGCTTGGCACCTCTCACCCGCATGCTACTCCACAGTAGCGCTTACTGTCATCTGTGCGGCTAAAGAGCTTTTGCACAGAGAAGACCCTGAAGTGGGGGCCACGAGCCAGCTCGGTTTTATCCTTCCTGTAGCCTCTCCCCTCCTGTCTCACTACTCCCACCATCACACATAATTAAAAGGCTGGGCTGGCTGCCCAAGTGGCTGGAGGCGATGAGTCACTCCCCAGGCTTGTAAGAATGAGGCATAAATCACCTGAGGGAGGGCTGGAACTTCTCGCTCCTCTCACACCTGGGTTCATTCAGGGGGACCCTATTACTAGGCCTCCCAATTACCCTGTCCCGCCGGCCTGAATTTATTTGTACCGCTCCCCCACCACCATAAAATTATAACTTTGCGTAATAATTTTTTGCTCGATGCTGTCCAACCCAAGGTTAATAGCTGCCAAACTGACTTTGAGGCGGCTGAAGGATGTGGCTCCGATGCTCCTCTCCTCCTCTTCTTGGTACCTCCTTTACATCCTCTTGTTGAGCCTGTAAAAGTAGTGCTGCCAAGGGGAGTGGAAGTGGCTGGCAGGAGTTATTGTCCAGTGCAACCCCATTAATAGTCCCCCAGGGTGCTTTTAGTGTCTCTCTTACGGGACAAACTGCCATTAATTGTCAGATCAAACCTTGAGACCCTTCCTGTTTTACTGCACTGTGGGCCCTGAACTGTGTTCCATCCGGGCCTCATGGAATAGATTTCCATCTAATGAAAAGTAAGGAGGAGTTTCTATGAACTTCTTATGGACGGAAGTTAAAGCTGTTTGTAAAACTCTTGTTGTTTCAAGTGAAGCCGAGGCCAAAGAAAATACAATATTCTCAAGTTTTCTCAATTCCTACAAAACAGAACCATTGAAATATTTATCATATTTTCAAATGAATGAGTTCATCAAAACATTCAATCCCGGCATGGGGAGAACATGCAAACTCTACTCAGACCTTGTTCTGACCAGGATTCGAACCCAGGAGCTTATCACTCAGCCACTGTGCCGCCCTTACATATTCTTCAGAACCAAAGTATAAGTTTGGATTCTCAAAAACATGAATATACTGTATAAATATATCAAAAATACAAAATCATTCACTTTTACTGAAAAACTGACTATGTTAAACATTATTACTCAATATTTTTATCTTTAATGTGTTCTGTCTTGTTGAGCACTTCCTCGTGTATGAATCGTGCCAAATAAACTGACTTTTCCTCACAAGTGGTTTTCTGCAGTTGTTATTCTCAGTTATCCTCCTTCTCTTCTTTGAACATACTCTCTCTAATTGATAAGTTGGACACTGCACGGCTCAGACACGTTAAGTACACTTAGGCACGAATAAATTAGGCTCTGCCGGTGTTTGCTTACGGCCATCTTTGGTTATAAAAGTCCACAATTAAGCGTTCTCAGACAAAGCCTCTAATGGAAAACACACTTTGTCTTCGGCCCCTTTCAGCCGGACCGCCTTAAAACGTGGGATTGGCTTTTTCTGCTCAACACTAAACACATGACGGCTTCTCAAACATGCACCAAGTCTGCAGCTTCAAGAACAGGAGAAAACCTTCTGATAACTACATTTCTCCAGTGTGGGATCAATAAAGTCTCTCTGCGAATAGAAGACATTTGTAGACAGTGTTTGTAAAATAATCTGGAGGTAAAAATATACAGTTTCAAACAAAAGTGTTGGTCCCAAAACAAAGATAACACTGAAGTTTAATCATAATCGTGTTGTGTGTTCATTGTTGGTCTTTACAAAACATTTCTACTTCTAACAATATATATGTTTATGTGTATGTATCAAATAAATATATAAATGTGTATATGTGTCTATGTGCATATGAATATAGTCTGAATGTATGTGTGTGTGTGTGTGTGTATAGATGAGTGTGTGTGTATCTGTGTTTGTATGTGGTGTACATGTTTGTTTGTATGTATGTGTGTATACAGTATATGTGTATGTGTGTATACAGTATAAGTGTATGTGAGTATACAGTATATGTGTATGTGTGTATACAGTATATGTGTATGTGTGTATACAGTATATGTGTATGTGTGTATACAGTATATATGTATGTGTGTATACAGTATATGTGTATGTGTGTGTACATGTGTATATATGTATGTGTGTATACAGTATATGTGTATGTGTGTATACAGTATATATGTATGTGAGTATACAGTATATGTGTATGTGTGTGTACAGTATATATGTATGAGTGTATACAGTATATGTGTATGTGTGTGTACAGTATATATGTATGAGTGTATACAGTATACGTGTGTGTACAGTATATAGTGTGCATGTATATACTGTATATATGTTTTTCCTTTAATGTAGAGTCTCTCTCTCCGTTTGCTTTCACACATGTTCCTTTAAGATCTAAGCAGGTGTTCTGTTCTTTCCCTCTGAGATCGGGTTCAACAGTCTCTCCCTTTGATGCATCAGTGTGTCTGTTATTGTGTATGTTATTTATATTGTTCATATAAAATAAATAACTAAAACGTGTGTGTGCTTGGTCCCCAGATCCACATCATAGACTTTGACGATGAGAATAACATCATCAATAAGAACGTCCTGCTGCATCTGGCTGGAGAGATCTGGCACATTGGGTCGAGTCCCGCAGACAAAGCCGTGCTCTCCACCTGCTACAACAAAAGTCAGGTTTCACTAATGCATATTCTGCTTTCACCTTGTGCTCTCTATACCTCTTTCTCTTTTATCTGGCTCTAGTTTTCTTAACAGCCCTAAGATGTAATTGGTCTTTAACAGCGGATCGATAATGGCCCGTTCTGTCTGATAGCAGCAGCTGTGTTAGAAGTCATGTTCAGGCGCTGATAGGATCAATACTAATGTGTAGACATGATGGATTATGGCTCCCCCTGAAGGTCACACGGACTTTGGGCACCGCAGTCCGACTCTGAAACCGCACAATATTCTAATGTTGTTTTAAAATGTAATGGAATATTACCTGGTAGTTATTTTAATTGTTTAGTTCAACTTAATTCAATGTATTCTTGTAAATCGCAACAGCAGTGCGAGAAAATGGAGAAGCCTCAGGGAGATCCACAGAGAGAGGGCTCCACGCGGACGGATGGGCTGTAGATCCAGGACTCAGACTGTAGAACGAGGACTGAGACTGTAGAACCAGGACTGAGACTGTAGAACCAGGACTGAGACTGTAGAACCAGGACTGAGGCTGTAGATCAGTGGGGGCGGGTCCCTGCTCAAAAGTGGCCAAAATGACGTGCGCTGACATGCTGCAATAGCACCCCGGGCCGATGGGGGTGGACCCAGAAGAAGAATTAGCCAATAATAGCATATAGCACCTCTTGAAAACGGCGGAGATAGATGTGACTCTGTCCGTTAATATATACAGTCTATGTTGTAGATCCAGGACTCAGACTGTAGAACGAGGACTGAGACTGTAGAACCAGGACTGAGACTGTAGAACCAGGACTGAGACTGTAGAACCAGGACTGAGACTGTAGAACCAGGACTGAGGCTGTAGATCAGTGGGGGCGGGTCCCTGCTCAAAAGTGGCCAAAATGACGTGCGCTGACATGCTGCAATAGCACCCCGGGCCGATGGGGGTGGACCCAGAAGAAGAATTAGCCAATAATAGCATATAGCACCTCTTGAAAACGGCGGAGATAGATGTGACTCTGTCCGTTAATATATACAGTCTATGTTGTAGATCCAGGACTCAGACTGTAGAACGAGGACTGAGGCTGTAGACCCAAGACCCTTTCCACTCAAAACTTGTCTGGTCAAATCTGCAATGTAAATGTTTTATTATTATTATGATTATTATTATATTATATTATATTATATTATAGGGGCGACAGTAGCTCAGTTGGTAGAGCATTGGCCTTCAGGCCTGAAGGTTGTGGGTTCAATTCCCACCTCCACACCTTCTCCACCGACTCCCACTGATGACTGCTGTCGTTGTGTCCTTGGGCAAGACACTTAACCCCACTTTGCCCAAAGCCCCCACTGAAAGATCAAGGCTATGCTCACAGTCAGAGAGCAGCCGTCCTCCTGTGGACTCACCACCTGCAGAGGGTCAGTGAGGGGCTGGTGCTATGAGACTTGGGTGGCATCTCTGACTGCCACCCCCCTGACCCAGAAATGGATTAAAGGGTAGAAAATGGATGGATGGATGGATGATTATTATTATTATGTAGTATTAGTATGTATTGTTATTATTATTCCTATAAGAAATGTTGAAACATAGTTGGCCCCTGCTCCAGTCTCTGTTCAGCCGCTGTGGTGCAGTGACCGCATGAATTCCACAGCATTAAAAGTCATGAAAGAAGCTCAGACCCCCCACAGAGATGACAAGGACACAGCAGTGCCCTCTCCAGACGACAACAGTCACTTTTACAGATCTGACTTTAAAGCTGGTCTGACAGAGTCTTATTGTGTGGACTGGACATTAACAATAACATTTACATTAACATTAACAATCCCTTCTGTGTTCACTAGAGGAGTTTGAAAGTGAATATTAAAGGAGCAGTGTGTAAACGTGTGGCCCAAAGTGGTACTGCAGCCTCTCCCACTCTCCCTGACTCAGGTTGCCAGATATGCAGACGAATCCAGCTGGGACCATAACAGCTGAATAGACAAGAGTTTTGTCAACAACAAATCTATAACCAACACCTTTTTCACAAAGATAGAAATCCTGGTTTTATTCCTTGTTTTGTCGTTAATGATTTGAGAATCATAACGAGACCTTTTTTAGGGCCCTTTAATGATGACAGATTAGGGCCCTTTAATGATGACAGATTAGGGCCCTACTGGTTGGTAGGGCCCTACCAACCTGAGCTCAGTTGGTAGAGCATTGGCCTTAAGCCCAGAAGGTCGTGGGTTCAATTCCCACCTCTGCACCTTCTCCACCGACTCCCACTGATGACTGCTGTCGTTGTGTCCTTGGGCAAGACACTTAACCCCACTTTGCCCAAAGCCCCCACTGAAAGATCAAGGCTATGCTCACAGTCAGAGAGCAGCCGTCCTCCTGTGGACTCACCACCTGCAGAGGGTCAGTGAGGGGCTGGTGCTATGAGACTTGGGTGGCATCTCTGACTGCCACCCCCCTGACCCAGAAATGGATTAAAGGGTAGAACATGGATGGATGGATGGATAGATTAGGGCCCTTTAATGATGACAGATTAGGGCCCTTTAATGAGGACATATTAGAGCCCTTTAATGATGACAGATTATGGCCCTTTAATGATGACAGATTAGGGCCCTTTAATGAGGACAGATTAGGGTCCTTTAATGATGAAAGGTTAGGGCCCTTTAATGATGACGGATTAGGGCCCTTTAATGATGACAGATTAGGGCCCTTTAATGATGACAGATTAGGGCCCTTTAATGATGACAGATTAGGGCCCTTTAATGATGACAGATTAGGGCCCTTTAATGATGACAGATTAGGGCCCTTTAATGATGACAGATTAGGGCCCTTTAATGATGACAGATTAGGGCCCTTTAATGATGACAGATTGGGCCCTTTAATGATGACAGATTAGGGCCCTTTAATGATGACAGATTAGGGCCCTTTAATGATGACAGATTAGGGCCCTTTAATGTTGCTTCTTGAAGGTAGATAGACTAGTGGTTTGAAAACATGTGTATGTGGTGCAGACTCCACAGTGTCCCAGTGTGTTGAGGATAAGTCCGTCTACGTGTCCTCAGAAGCCTCATGAGCTGTCAGCATTAGCGTCACGGCCGGGGTGATGCAGAGTGCACCGCAGGCCTCTAGGGGGCGACAGCACTGGGACCAGGTGTAGACACTGTGCTTGTCCTACTCTCTCTCTTCCTCTCTTCCTCTCTTCCTCTCTCCTCCGTCTTCACCACTGTCGTCTGGTCCGCTGTCAGCTGAGGTGAGCACGCTTGAGTTCACACACTGACAGCCACCATGAGCCGGGATGAAGCAAAGACGGCCCACAATGCACTGCTCTACTGCACATGTACCACATAGACCACAGGATAAACACACATAAGAGCGGGTTGCATCTGTGTACATTATTTACCAGAATAACGTGTCTACATACATACATACATATATACATACATAAATATATACATACATACATACAGTGCATACATACATACATACATACATACATACATACATACACACACACACACACACACTCACACACACACACACACACACACACACACACACACACACACACACACATACACGTTTTTGTTACCTGGTGGGTCCCTTTGACAGGGCCGTTCAGAATGGGACCCATAGACATAATCTTTTTTTACTGGGACTACTTTAAGTAATACAAAACAGTCAATAGAAACCAAACAACTATTTTAAAGGAATTTTATTTTAGATTTTGTTTTCGAATTGCAGTGATTCTATTTTTGACATAGAATTTAATGCCACTCCATGTCCGATGTCTAAGGTCATCTGGTGAGGCATTAATGCAGGCCAGGCCAGGCCAGGCCAGGCCAGGCCAGGCCAGGCCAGGCAGTGAGACTTCCCAGGGACCTTTCCAGTCTGTATGAAAGGTGTCATGGTCTTCTCCACAGCCTTCACCTCAGATGCAGACCATGGCTTTCTTACACGTTCTAGGGAGAGAAATAAAAATATATTAGCAATATACACTCCCAGGGTTAGGACCAAGCAGCCTGGCTGTAATCCCCCACCTGGTACACTTACCAGAAGGGGCACTGCCACTACCATGGGGTGCATCTGGATGAATGGTTGAAGGTTCTCCGCTTGAAGTTTCTTTTAGCCCGTCCGTTTGTGAGAGGATCTCTACTGCTCTCCCTGTCGCACAGAAAATAAAAATACAAGTGGCCTTTAGGGGAAAAAAAATCATACATATTTTAATAATATCAAGAATTACCTTCAGGCTCAATTTGTATCTGGTCGAGGCTCTTTCCTTTGAATTCCGTCACTCTTCCCTGCTCCATGGCCATCAACACTTTGCTGATTTTGGCCAGCTCCAGTGTCCCCTCTGGTAGTCTGTAATATTGCCTGTGGATGCGAATGTCATGGCCGAGGAAGTTGGCTAGTATGTCCATCTCATTCTCTTTCATATTGAGAACTGTAGACATAGTAGCTATGTGCTTTCTAAGTTTGGTTGAGGATAGCATCTCTGGATGCACCGCACCACATTCTTTGGCTACCTGGCGTAGGGAGTCTGATCCCCTGATGTGGGTGTCTACGCCCGGGCGGGAAAAGAAGTATGGGTTATGGTCAGAGATGGAACAGGCCCTTCTGTTCTCCACCAGCACCTCCATCGAAGCAATCATTTCAGGAGTCAAAAGAACCGGCACTTTCCGACTTCTTTTCCCTTTAATTTCAATGCGTTGAAAATGCTGACACAGCTTTTTCTCAAGTTGGGACAGTCCCAGAGCAATGTCAGAATGGATCCCAGTCTTACTTCTTAAGGTAAAGGCTGTCAGTGGCATCTTTGAAACCTCACCTTCCCTTCTTCGATTGAAAATGATGACCTCACAAAGAGTCAAAACTGCCAGTTTAGACCAATGCTTAGACGTTGGCTCACTTATTAGGGTTTGCACATATTCAGGTCGACATACCTCAATATGTGCATGCATGGCTCTAACGTCCTCAGTCAGAGGGAGCAGGTCCGGAGTG